TTTTCTCCTTCCTCATTCTCTTCTGTGGTGTCCTTATCCCCCCACAAGCGCTCGCCGAGTTCTGGAAGGCATGGATGTATCCACTGGATCCATACCATTATCTCCTGGAAGGCTTTGTGGTCAACGTTCTTCATGACGTGCCTGTACAATGCACGGACGAAGATTTCATTCGCTTCTCTGCACCGCCAAACACAACTTGTTACGACTATACAAAAGAGTTCTTTTCCATCGGTGCACCCGGCTACATTGCGAATCCCAACAGTACCACTACTTGCGACTATTGTCAATTTGCAGACGGCAATCAGTACATTGATGTGTATGATTGGGATTTTGGAAACCGGTGGAGGAATTTGGGCATTTTCATCTGCTATTGGATATTTAACATTGTCGTGACGGTCTTCTTCACCTATCTTTTCAGGAAGCCCAAGCGATAAGGGCTTTTTCTTGACAAGTCATGGAGTGGGAAGGGATACTTATATAGAATCATTATCTAATAAAGACTATTTCATATCATTAAACTGCTTGACGACCTCATATGAAGCAGTAGTAGGATAATAATAAAAAGTTCCATATAAAAATACTATTTTGCAGAATCGGATCTTTTGCTGACCGTGGCGGCGTTGAGTCTCTTACAGGGTGCTTAAAGGATCAGCAGGACAAGGGAACAAGGGATGCAAGGGCGTAGAATGGACAAGTGTGCCAAAAGAATAAATATCTTTTTGAATGTCGCGTGACGGGGGGAGCAATAACTCAAGTTGCCGTTTTAACTTACGACATTCCTACCTTATCATTTCACAAAAGCAATGGTCCGGATCGTTCGTTTCCTGAAAACGGTTGTGACCAAAAATGTCTTGATAGCCCTGAGGGTTTTGTTTAAAAAGAGATGGTTTACAGCATTATTTTTTTATGTGTGCTCAGCATTGCTGGTTGTTCTTTATCCATTCAATAGTGTGCTAGTGTTCCAATGAGCGAGAAACGACAATGCAGAGATTACAAGTAAAAAAACAGGGACTGAGTGATGGATTGTTCGCTTGCTGCTGCTGCTGCTGCAAGTCGTCGTTTTTGTTGTCTTTTGCTGCGCAATGCTTTGGAGTGTTCCCAAAACCGTATCCCATTTTTTCTCGTGCTACGGCAGTCTTTTCTAATTAGACTGAACAGCCACGATTTCTTTTTTTTTTTTTGATTTTTAAATAAAAGGAACTTGCCGCACTTGACCATGTTTCCCTTTTCATGTCAGCATCGGTGAACATTGCTGGTGAGCCTATCGTTACGCTAGGTTCATCGTCCACATTATCACCCACCACCACCCTTGTGAGTGATGGATTACCACCGCCGCCGTATGGAGGCAGTCATGTGTACCCCCCAACAGCCCCGCCTACTCCCAGTAATCCATCCCAACCTCCTCCGCCATACACAACTCTTCCCCTCCCAACAACAACAACAATCAAATCCCGTCGACCCAAAAATGACACCAAAACGGTGATATCAGCCATTTTGCTGTTTACACTCCATCTGGCGGTCTTGTTGGCGTTTAGTGGGTTTATCGGTTACCAATTCCTGAGAAGGGTCGTGTACCACGGCAGGCCACCCTATTCTATGGTTGTCCTGACTGGGTTTGTCCTCTTCTCCTTGATGGGTCTCTTGTTCCTTGCTTTCCTTTTCACGATGGTTGCGACAGGGTGTCTAAAGTACGAGTGGTGGGATTGGGCTTTATATGGCAAGATACAGCGCGAGGACGACGTTGAGAATGAAGATTCTGATGACGACTCTCAACGTGGAGATGCTGGCTGTGGACCTTGTTGCCCATGCACACAAGGGCCAGGTGCACTATGGTTTAGAGACGCCGGGATGGCTGGTGGAGGCGATGCATGTGCGGCTTGTCTGTGTGGAATTGTTCTACTGGCAGTTGTTGCGGCTTTTGTAGGGGCCATTTGGGTCGTAGGGTTTTCTTATGTTGTTTTATGGCGGGTTTGTTGGAAGATTGTTAGCTAGCAGGTGATTGCTGGTTGTACATAATGATAGAGCTGTCTGTTGTTCTTGGACTTGCAGTTACTTGAAACCCCTTACAGAGTATTTTTCACTCCTTTAGCGCCAGAAACGACGCATGTGATGGATGGCAACCTGCAGATACACACTGCTGGTTTGCATGACATGTGGGCGTCTGTATTAGGCACAAAAGACATGACAGTGCGATCACACTGAAGGCTATTCCAAGGAGGAACAGACCCTCAGATGAACTGTCCTGTTGAAAACTCGCGAATGTGTTTCTCTTCACGATGCATGGGATATGCTTTTGCTAACAAAGCTCTCGCAGGACATGGGTGACTCTACTACAAGAAGATTGCTGTACATATGGCTTGGAATGGACCGGCTTGTAGACAAACTTTCAACCTGGATGTGGATTATCTTTCACAGCACAACCTCAATACTCTGAGCATATGCCAACGTCCCCGCTAGTATTTGGGAGACGGTTATCCTAGTCTGGGAAAACGTTCAGTAAATAAAAAACAACCATTATCATCAATTGGGTACTCCCCATTACACAGTACTGTAGTGTATACTAGCCCCAAATCTCAATTGGACATGCCCGATGTTTTGACCCATTAGATTCACACATTTTGCTGGGTATATCACAGAGTACATATACAGAAATTATTATCTGATGCATACTCCGCCTGTTTTCTCTTACATTTTTAAAGCATGTTCAACTAGTATATGCTATGTAGAAAAGTGGATGGACATCGCAGGTCGTTAAATCATCGACACGTTTGGTCATGTGGGATCACGCTAGTCCACTCTAATGGGGACCATCCTCTTTTCAAATGGCGTCCACCCGGGCTCGCTTCGTGTTTTTATCCCACAGCAAGTTCTTTTTTTACACAACATAAACCACTGCCAAGAGATGCCTCAGAGCAGTATGCATGGTGTACGGTCTTTTTGATACTTACTAAAGACTTACTGTTGTGTCGAATTATGTATTCGCAGATGCAACTGCACCTTTTGGAGTGTTCAAGAAAGGTGGATACTATTGTTGTGCGTTGCTCCAAATGACTGAGATTAATTTTCTTTTAGTTGATGAGTTCATTAGTCAAAATATGAGCAATATGACATCTCATGCTTTGATCGAAATACAAGTACGACGGGTAACGCCTGAGCCGGACGTCTTCTTTCGTGTTCCCGGACGATACGTGTTCGAAAATGATGAGACGGACAAGTTTTGGGACTATGTTATGCATGCATTAGAGGCTCTGGGAGCAGGAGTGGCTGTCGGTGATGAAAATTCGTGGAAATTGATCGGAAGAGGATGGGGTTGGGAGAAATGGTATCCAAAGGAACAGTCTCTGTAAAGCGAGCATATGCGCAAATACTATCGTATTCCAAATCTTCAGAGCTCGAAAAGAAAACTAAACTGCAAATCATTGTATCGCGGGCAGGGGACTCTACGCTCTCCGATCAAGTAGATATCGAATGAACTCCTGCGCATCTTGCTGCTGGTAGCCTCTAAACTGGCAAGTTCACAAGAAGCGCCCAGTATTGCATGAAGGATAAGGGTGAGCTTGGCACAATCTCTTATTATCGGCACATTCTTCCATATGGCGTCTAAGAAGGTTCCTGGACTTACTGCCAATGCGTCGTCTGTACACATTTCGCGCAGCAAGGCTCGTGTTTCCGCCCATACAGAGCTGAACACAACGATCCACTATCTGTGAGCTGAGTATGGACTCCACCATTGCCATGCGACCAATGTACGTACATGTCCTTGTTGGCAGACATTCCACGTGTTATCCGCGGCGGTGATATTTGCGGGGTAGTTGGATGAGAGTCAGCCGAATTTGGAGTTCGTGGGGTGCGCGAGGTTGAGGGCCATATATCCAAGTAATATTGTTGAAACGTTACATTGTGAAAGTATCACACTATATTTTTAGACATTTCAAGCGGTCGAGTAATTCCTGTAGACATTCGACACAACTTTCGATTGCAGAGGTGAGCGTTGTTCCCAGCCGTTCCATGTGGATTGAGTCGGGACTGCTGAATGCCTTGACTGGATTATGACAGATCTCATCTCTCACTAGTCTATACCATCTCGACCAAACTACCCAATCTCGTCGTGCCCAATGCTTATCAGCATCATTCAAAAAATCACGGTCCCATTCTATAAATTTAACAAGCTGTCCGATACATATCAACATATGGTACAATTGTCGTTTGTTGGAACGGTTGTTAAGCCAAGTCTCGCGGCGCGTCGGGTCAAACGTGCCAGTTACATCTAGATTAACATGAGATACATTAGACTTGCCTCCACGATAGAACACGATTTCATTTTCATAGCCCACAGCAAACAACAACAGATGGTACCTTTACGGAATTCCACTACGATGCTGTTAATCTCATCATGCACTCGCTTCATAGCAGCGGGCTCAAACCAGTCGCCGGGGGAAGGATAATTCCAGTCGTCTGGCATTTTTGGTGCGAAGTATAACCGATACTATACAAATGATCTCCCGCACGCCAATGATTACAGAAATCTCCGACAAGGTCAGTCAGCGGTTCCAACCTTTCAAACCATCTAACCTGGCGAGAACGTCCCCCAGCCGAGGCATTTCTAATTCATGCCGACGCATCACTTTACTCTAGAACGAACGCAACAGCGATGGGATCTCCCTTTATATGCGGCTTATGCTGCTTTGCAAGGGCCCGACATCTTCCTACTGTAGGTCGTCCACTTTCAAGATTCACGGCTTTGAGATCCTACAGGCGGCGATTGCAATATCATCCTAGATCTGCATCTTCCTCACCCGAACCTGCCAGTGCCTATACAACTACTTCAAGCACTCACAGTACCAACAAAACCAACGATTCTTTGCGGCTCATATTTGATGATCCATCGTACTGGCACAAAAATCGTTTGCGCCCAACGCAAGGCCGGCACCGCCATGTCGGCCTCTTTGGATTCGCCGCTCTCGACCGTCCAGAGGGCTTCATTCGAGCCGCTCGGGCAGCAATCGATGAAGTCAATCAAATTGTAGAGAGAGTGTGCGCTGCTGCCCGGGAGGGTAATATCAGCGAAATGAAAAAGACGGTCAAAAGGCTGGATCGGTTGTCTGACATTTTGTGCTCGGTGGTGGACACTGCAGAGTTGATTCGGCATGTGCATCCAGATGGCCGCTTTGTCCGGTCAGCAAATGATGCACACGGAATATTGAGCAACTTTATGAATCAACTGAATACTCATCAGGGGTTGTATGAGGTTGGTTGCTCGAATGGTTTCTGAGATATCTAGAGGTGTGGTCTCATCCTAGGACTGTATAGACTCTCAAGCGCGTCGTGCAAGATGCGACGATATCCACCCAGTTCTCCGAACAAGAATTAAGAGTCGCCAACCTCCTTCTTGTCGACTTTGAAAAGTCGGGAATCCATATGCCATTTGCAACCCGGAAACGCTTTGTCGAGTTGCAAGATCGGATCCTCGAACTCGGCCAAGCTGTTGTCATGAATGCTTTTCCGGTAGTAGACAGCATAGAGGTTGAGGACCCTGGGAAGAAACTACAAGGAGTCCCAGAAAACATCATTGCATCAGTCACCGCTGGCTCTCGCGCGATTATACCAACGTCATCGGCAGCTGCGTTGGCAGTTTTACGAATGGCCCGCGACGAGGATGTCCGAAGGAGAATGTATCTGGCAATGAATTCTGGGAGCAAGTATCAAGTGGATGTACTTGAGGAGATGTTGGTAAAGCGAGGCGAACTGGCGCGATTGTTGGGTAAAGAGAGTTATGCTCAAATGTATTTGGTGGACAAGATGGCTGAAACTCCAGGTATGCAGCGACTCTATCGAGTATCCTGAAACTATCTTTGTAACTGAGCATCTGCCAGAGAACGTCATGGCTTTCCTGGAATCACTATCCAATCTTCACAAGCCAAAGGCTCAGAGCGATCTCGATCGGCTCCGCAAGTTAAAAAGCGTGCATTTGGGACCCAATGCGTCACATGAGGTTCAACCATGGGACCGCTTTTTCTATTCACGGTTCATATCTCCTAGTGCCGTAGTTGCTGCCCAGCCTGGTAGCGCTGATCCCTTCCATGCTTCGCCACCAGTGACCGTGGCTGGCGGCGGCACTGACGGTTTATCTGCTTATTTCACTGTTGGGTCAACATTTGATGGATTATCGAGACTGTTCAAATCCCTGTATGGGGTGACGTTTGAACCGGTGATGTTAGCACCGGGTGAAGTATGGCACGAGGATGTGCGGAAGCTGGAAGTGGTCCATGAGACTGAAGGCAAAATTGGAACAATCTATTGCGACCTTTTTCGCCGAGGTCCCGGTGAAGGCCGCAAGTATGAGAGTGCGGCGCATTTCACGGTGAGATGTTCGCGGCGGATTGATGATGAAGAACATTTTGGCCCGGAGTTTCGGTCCGGGATCATGCGGGTTCGTGATTCGGAAAAGGATATTCAGGAGGATGGACTTGTCAAGCGATACCAGTTACCTATTGTGGTTCTTGTCACGGCATTCAAAAAGCCTTTAGGCGTCGATCATCCAAGTCTGTTGAGCCTTTGGGAGGTGGAGACTTTGTTTCATGAAATGGGCCATGCCATGCATTGTAAGTATGCGAGTCGACCCTCGTATTGTTGCTTGGCAATGATTCTCATCTACTTTATTACCTCCAGCCATGCTAGCCCGGACAGAGTTCCAGCACATTGCAGGGACACGAGTCCCTATGGACTTTGTAGAAGTGCCTTCCATCTTTATGGAAAACTTTGCTCGTTCACCAAAAGTTTTAGCAACATTTGGTCGACATCATAAAACGGGCGCACCCCTTCCACCAGACCTTCTACGCTCTGCCCAAGCCACCTCATCCTCGGCTGATGCCTTCGAAACTCAACATCAGCTCCAACTGGCACTATTAGATCAGATGTATCATTCCCCCCATGCCCTCGAGCCGTCGTTTGACTCTACTTCCCTATTAATTGAATCTCAAAAGCGTTTCAACGTCTTCCCTCCCGTACCCAATTCAGCCTGGCAAGTACAATTTACCCATCTCTTCAGTTACGGCGCCACCTATTACAGTTACTTTTGGAGCCGACGATGGGTGAATCGAATTTGGAGGAGGTGGTTCGCGGATCGCGATGAGCAGGCTTGGAAGGAGGGTGGTGAGCTTGTTAGAAAGGAGTTACTAGGGTGGGGTGGGGGACGGGATCCGTGGATAGGATTGGAAAAATTGGGTGTGGTAAAGGAAGGAGAAAGGGAAGGGAAATTTAAAGTTGAGTTGCAAGATTTAGGCCAAGGAGCGACATAGACATTTAGAGCAAGTATGATAGCATTCTTTGATAGCGGACTGTGACTGAACAATATTTTACTTATTTTCATGTGGATGGCCCAATTTATAGTTGAGGTTATTGTGGCCGATGGACATTCATAATGAATCTTTGATGCCATTAGATGATTGACTAAAGGTTTCCAATTCTTTGAACTGACTGATGGACGACTAGCTATTGAAATTCGCGGCAAGGGACCGCATGAGATCGCGCGTTAGCGTATCTCTGGGGACTACTACCGTGCACCCTTCCGACGTTCAAAGAATTTCTTGAGCGATAAGCAAAAATAAAGATCGGTTCCCCAACTCTAAAAATATTTTGGCTGCACGTTGGTAGTTCCCCGCACTTGTAGTCCTCGGCGGTCCTTCCACACGCACCATTACCTAACCTTTCACGTGATTTGGCTCCTGAGTTCTTTTGTGTAACAAAGCTTCGTGTACCTTCCAAGTGGGGGGAGCGAGTACCTTCGTGGTTACATCTTTTTTTTTTTTACCTTTCTGTCGAGGGAAGTGCCAGGTGCACTAGGCTGCGACCAGAAAGAGCACAGAACAAAAACATGGTTACGTTCAGCAACAAGGTGATGGACTACGAGGAGATTGATGAAGAAGAGGAACGGGACAAGACCATTCGACGGGGTAGTATGGTGCAAGAACCCGACCGGCACTTTCACTGCTCAGACTGCGGACTGTGGTTCAGGAGGCTGGAGCATTTGCAGAGGCATGCCTTAGTGCATTCTGGAGAGAAGCCGTTTGTGTGTACTGTTTGCGACAGAGGGTAAGCTTATCGGACCGGTGAGGTTTTTGTCTCGATTTGCGTGTCTGACAACATGAGTATTTATGGGCAGATTCAACCGCTTTGATGCTCTTCAGCGTCACTCAAAAATCCACAGAAACCATCCCCGTCCCAAAAGGCCTCGTCGCAAACCTGTGCGCAAACCCCGCACCAAACATATTTTTCACTACTACGATACCAGCACAAAAACGCCTGAGGACCTTACGAATGCTGCTGCTAAATCGGCCGAACCAGAATCCGCCCCGGTCGTCCCAGACAATTTTACCCGCCTTGCACAAGAAGCAACCCTCAAAATTATACAAGATACCAAGGCTGGCAAAGCATACCTGGCCTGCCCCATCAAGGGGTGCGATGAACGAGTCGAAAGCAGGCACGCAACGACTCATATGAACTTGGATAAGCGTAGTGAGGACCCGGAGCACACTAGCTTGGTTCACACTGCGGTATGCAGAAGGGATATTGAGAAGGACTTGTTGGCTCTTGAAGAGCATGTTGTTTCGCACGGTAAACATGTGATTGGGTTGGACGTTTTGGCAGAGTGCTGTGCAGCTGTTTTGGATGCTGACAAAGAGCCGTGTGCGGGTTGTATGAAGGTTTTTAGGAACAGGGTGGAGGATTTGGTCGATTGAGTTCATGCAAAAGTGCATTTTGGGACAAATATTTTGTGTTCAGTTTTTTCTTTTCGGTATATAAATCCGTATTTTTGTGTTGGTATGTCAATATTGTGATTCGGTTCATGTTTGAAGCATTCCTGTATCTGTAGCAAAGCTTTCTTTCATATTGGCTAACCAACAAGCAGGTGGACTCAGTATGCAAATCCTTTGATTGTTGAAAGCACTACTAGCTGTTGGGCGTCCCTGTCCTGCTGTTTCCAATGACAATACACTACATGTCCAACATCAAGTATCCTGCGTGATGCATAGCCTTTGGGAAGACCGTTTAATATCCATATCTTCATCACTTGAATCAACCAGCAAGACCTCTGAAACTTTCACGGCGACCATAGCCACAAGCCCCGGCAGGATTAAAGTTCGGTTGATTACTCTACTCTGCCACACGAGGCTTAGCAGTTCATACGCTCTCACTTGCCAGCTTTCGGCTGGTATCGAAAGGAAAGATCTTTTGGAGTTTGCTTTTTATCTCCACATTATTTTTTGAACGACTTGCCCTCCCCGTACGGGGATACCCGGCGACCATGCCTACTGTGTCGCGAACGCTGGCTTCCCTTGGCGGGATGACCGCCAGACGTACTACTATCTCGAAGGTAAGATCCGACTGGGCCGCAAGGCGAGATCACCAAAGAAAGATCAGCAGTGAAACTCACAATATTTCCCTCTAAACAGCTCCTCAAGGCCAAAACAATATCTTTCTTTGGCGGAGTGTGTCTTCTTATCAACGGAATGACTGGCCCTGGTGAGAGCTCGGCAGACATGCATTGGCATTGCTGGCATGTGTTGACGCTCCTGTATTTTATATCAAAGGTGTGCCTTTCACTCCGGCTACATTCCAACAATCTGGCTGGTTTTTCCCTACGATCCTCTTTATAATATTTGGACTGGTCTCCGCTTTGAGTATCCTCTTTATTATTGAGGCCATGCAAGCGGTGCCGGGAAATAAACACTTTCAGGTACGCCGAATTCTTATTATTGTAAAGCTCTTGAGGGACTGTAAATGCTAACGTACGGTTTGTAGGGAACTGTAGAGTTTGCGACTCTGATCAACTTTTATTTTGGAGATCTAGCCCATTATCTGGGACAATTCCTGCTTTACGGCGCACTCCAATCGAATGCCATGTCTGGTATTGTGATTATGGCTCAGGTGAGGTACAGCCTAATACCAAACGCTTTATGACCAATCCCATAACTTTGTTTGTATGGTAGGCATTTGATAGCATGATAATCGATATATTCGGCAAGACCTGTGGATTGGCTTTAAGTGGGCCAAATCGTGGATGGTTCTGCGTGGTGAGTAATTCGACAGAGTTTCCTTCTCCATTTGGAGATACTTGGATGCTCTTTACTGTGGGACTGTTGGTAGGTTAACCCTTGTCAGTGTGACAATTGAGTTTTTTTTTTGTCATTCACCATCTTTTGCCTTATTTGCAGCTCGTCCTCATATTTGCCTTTCCGCTGGGGATCGTCAACCTTGACGATAACATCATTGCCCAAATAAGTAGGTTATAGGTAGTGGTAATTATCGTGAACAAATGGATATACCTAACAGAATGTCCTTTGCGATAGTTGCCTTTTGGTTATCCATTGCGATTGGACTTGAGTGGATTGGTGCCTCTTTTCACCAGGGTTTAGAACCCTCGAGAGTTCCAGCATTTGGAAGCGACTATGCCACTGTAGTCGGTACTATCATGCTGAATTTGGCGTGTACGACGGTCGTTCCATCGTGGGTGAATATTAAGGTATGGTTCCACGATTAACAAACATCACTTTGTTGGGCTTTGACGATGATGGCATCATATAGAAACGAACAGTGAGCGCTCAGAGCGTTGTATGGACTGCAATCGCCATTGCAACTGCTTTCTATATGCTGGTTGGACTCATCCGTAAGTTGCGAGATCTCGGATGCGCGCGAGCACGTAACTGATACTTTTTTGCACCTCTCTAGCCGCTCTCGGATTCCAACTTGATAGTTCGGGAAACATCCTTCCAACTTTAATGAAATCCGGCAAGCTAAACAAGGCGTCCGCCTACCTTTTTTCGATTGTTATGCTTTTACCTGCCATTCCGGTAAATTTCATTGTTGCTCAAAATAACATGGTGCAGAACAAAGTCGCCGGAAAACGTGAGTGGATTCAGGGTTTTTGTGTTTGGATAAGCTATGCGCTAATCTCCGTTTACCTGTAGGGACGGCTATCTTTTTGGCGCACGTTCTTCCGTGGTTTCTCTGTATTCCGCTGCAAACAGGAAATTCCATGCAGGCTTTCATTAACTGGACTTCCCTGTTCTTCGTCTCTACTGCCAATTTCATTATCCCCTTTGTTATTTATCTGAAATGCCTAAGATTCCGAAGAGAGTACAACGAAAGTCGAAGTATGTGATACGCAAGGATGCATGCCTGGGATAAGCTATTCACATCTTATATTTTCAGTCCTCACTGAAAAGCAAAAACTGCTGTTGAAAGAGATACACTGGTCATCGAGAACCATCCACAAGTTTATTGATGAAAAGTCCGTCCGTGACTCTCTTGTCGCCCCTGGCGGCGAACGGCGACTGCCTCGAGATCGGTCGGAACTATCAATGCGTGGAGCCATTCCTCCCTTGGAAATTGAGACCGCCGCACCTTCCGATATTGTATTGCCAACATTGAGCATACCACCACCAATAGCTGTAACGCTCTCTGAAGATGCCGCTGCAGTCCAAGTACCAATGCCATCACCGAGCGGCTCAATTCTCAAGAACCCTCTAGGAAGTAAAGGAACGACTTCTGGACGGAAAAAGTCGGTGATGATGGCGTTACCTGACGAGCACCCAGTGGAGGAACATGAGGACTCGGCGACTCTTCCAAGAGCATCTAACATTCACTATGAAGCGATGGATGATGCCTCAGTGACTACGGCTTCCACCGCACCAACAGGGGAGGGTATGCGCCCGTCCTCGGAGATTCAGAGAGGCGTCACAGCATCCACAGCAGGGCCATGGACGGCCGTGCGATTATCGACTGAGCAGGTGCAGGTGGGCGGTGCAGAAGAATATTTAAAAGATGATGTTCCGGATCCCGATCTGGAACACAAAATTGCGAGACGGGAAACACATCATCCATCCTGGGACATGGAGGGTGGGGGAGGTGTACGAGGAACATTGAAACGGGCGATGAAAAGCATGAGAGCCGCGAGTCCCTCAAGAGCCGGTGCATCCTACACAAGACCGGGGAAGGATACGTTAACTCGAGTTGCAGAATCGGCGGACGGGCGCGATATGATGGCACCGCAGGATGTTCCACTGGAGCCTATCCACGGAGGAGAGGAGCCTGGTCCGGCGCCTTCACGGCGTGAAACAACGGGCAGCAATGCAACAGATATTTCAGATGGAGCAGATTTACTTCGCAAGGCCACTCTTCCAGTACATCCCCAGTACATTAGTCCCACGTTCAGAAGTATACCTACATGGTTTCCTGTCCGGGGTCGCGTGGTGGCCTGGACGTTATTGGTCATAACAGGGGGCATCAGCGTATCCAATATCATCATTGCCATTGTAGCTCGAAAGTAGGACCAGTGTTTCGGGACTGGGACTATGAATGAGAGGAAAAGGGCCTTTCATGTGGCTGCCTTATTTTGTACGATACTCGTAATCTGCCGTAGTGATCTGTTGATAGTCCAGATTCTGTGGACCCTTTTCTCTTTGTAATTGCTGTCACTAGCGTTCACTATATATATACTTTTTGTTTGTCTTTCTACCTCGACCAGCCAGAATTAAGTGGAAATAACTAGCGTTAAATCATATTTCTAGGTTGCGTTGTGGTGTTCTATGCAATCTCTGTCTTGGGAAGTCCATCTTCGCCAAGAAGCGAAACATGGGCGTTCCATCCTCTAGCTAATATCCTTGGCCCATCACCAACACTTGTGCTTATGATTCTCCTCAAGCTCCCCCTTTCAAGCGGTTTCATACCAATTCTGGAAACCATGTCATCGACAGCTTTGACGTTCTCGGATCCCATAAAATTTGCAGCCCGTCCAAAGTACTCTTTCCTCTCACCTTCCCCCTCTGGTGGAGGAAAGAATCTGTTGACAAGGGCCAATACCTCTGGAACATGCTCCTTCAAAATGTACAAGACAGCATTTGGTCCTGCGTCAAATGTATATGCCGCGCGATACCCCTTCTTTCCACGACCACTCCTTCCGTCGCCAGTGAACAATGCGTTGTAGGCTGTAATGAGGTGGATGACAGCTCGAGAGACGTCGTTGAGGTACGTAATTGGGGGAAAAGTGTCCAAACAAACTGCATGGAATTGATTCGAATCCATCATGGTCAGCTCAGCGAATGCATCGTAATCTTTGTTGGCGATTGCTTGTTTCATATCTTGCATGCGTTGTGGCACTTGACGGATGCGCTCTTGGAGTAGTTCAGAGGTCTCCACGGTTAATTGCATTCCTGCTGTCGATGGAGTGTCCTTTCGGGCGTCTGATGCTACGAGAACGAGGGCTTCCATATCTGGCCAATGGGATTCATCGGCTACTTGGACGGCGACAGAGTCGACACCATCTGGTCTTGAACCCATTTCCCAGGCGACGAACCCGCCAAATAAACTCCTGCAGGCAGATCCGGATCCGAGTCGTGCGAGACGGGATAGGTCGGATCTGGATACCTTGTCGGCTACGCCTATTGCGTGGGCGATACCGAATGTCAGAGCTGCGAAACCGCTTGCGCTGGAAGCTAGTCCTGCGGCCGTTGGAAAGTTGTTTTGGGAACACACGTGAAGTTTTTGGGCAGAGAGTTTTTCTAATGACGCATCGTCTTGTTCCATCCGCTGTCTCAAGGCGCGTAGCTCTCGTACAACATTCACCATACGCTTATTCTTTGTTACATCCTCTTCTTTCCCGTTCAACCATAAACGATCTCTTTCGAACGACGGGTCGGCTCGTACTGTTGTCGTCGAGCGGAGGTCATCTTGAGAAAGCGTAAGAGACAGCGAAGAGTTGGTGGGAAGTAGGAGGGATGTGTCTCGCTTTCCCCAGTACTTTACGACGGCGATGTTTACGGGTGCTGAGACCGTTACTTCGAACGCATGGGGGTTCGTTGAAAGCATATCTACGAATGCCGGTGGTGTGGGTGTGGGTTCTTGGAGTCGTTTGTTAAAAATGGAGGTGGATCAAGAAGCGGCTCAAGTGTTCTGTTTTTGTGAATGTGTGGTTTGCAGATCTCGGGGCGAGGCATATCGTGCGACGCGCTGAACATGCGGGTTTCTTTGGTTGGATCAGGCGATGGGCGACGCGCCCGCCGTTCGACCAGCCGCTGTTGGCAGCTGTTACTTTCAGCGAGCCAGAGACTTATTTGAGAACTGCTGCGATTCTGAGAGCCTTCAGCACACCAGTTACTATAATGGCGTACTTGAATAGAATAAGATAATGTGTCCACCCCATTGACAACCGTTGAATGCTTTCTTTGCCATACAGGCTGACTGATTGCCAACCAAATGAAGATACTGAATATTTGCTGACAGTCAGCATTGAGATGATTCCAAAGACATTTGTGTAGTTTTCATATGAAGCCTTGGAGCATTATGCATTCCAATATATGGTCGATCGACCTTGCCCTCCATTACGTGACTCATCACTCAGTCTGTGAGTCAGCTCGGACAGTCAGCAGTGTGGTTTGTAGCATTTGCATCACCAGCGCTCGTTGCTCCAGTTTGTCCGAATGGCTTCTACTGAGCCCTTTTCAGTAGTAATAGTCGGCGGAGGCCTTGTTGGGTCATTGGCTGCCGTATTCTGTGCTAAACGTGGGTGGAAGGTTGATTTGTACGAGTTGCGAAAAGGTTGGTGATGCTTGTCTGCCAAAATGGAAAAAGACCAAATAACTTACTGTCCACTGGGCATGCGAACAGATCCCCGAGAAGATGCTTCACAGTCTGGTCGATCTATTAATTTGGCGTTGTCAGTCCGTGGAATATCCGCGTTGAGGGCTGCCGGTGTAGAAGAGAAAATACTGAACAATATGATACCAATGAAAGGAAGAATGATTCATACAAGAGACGGAAAACTGTCTTCGCAGCCGTATGGGATTTTTGGAGAGGTATCAAATCTAACAGAAAGATGTTTCTTGTCTGGATAATAGCTAATTTCGTGTCGTTACCAGTGCATCAATTCCGTGGATCGCATGCTGATGAACAAACACTTGCTGGATTCTGTGGAAACACTGCCTAATGTCAAGTTGCATTTCGAGCATGATTTGAAGCAGTGTGATTTTGATGCGCGCAAGGCAGTATTTGCCCGGTACGTCCTATTTTCATCCTCTCTTATATGGATGGAGGAGCTGATCTGTTTTTGTGTTTCCAGAAAGGATGGATCATCCATTACGGTCCATGCGGACTTGATTATAGGAGCCGATGGCGCTCACTCACGAACACGACAGCAGCTTATGCGCAGAACTCGGTATATAGTTATTTCCTGTCAACGGCTTGCACCGAGCTGTTGGCTGACTCATGTGGCTATAGTGTAAACTTTTCCCAGAGCTACATTGACCACGGATATGTCGAGTTGACCATTCCTCCAACCCAAGATGGCGATTATGCGATGGATGCCCATCACCTTCACATATGGCCTCGACAAACATTCATGATGATTGCCCTGCCGAACCTCGTAAGTCCATCCGCGAGTCCTGCACAGACCACCGTGTCGCGCTAATCATGATTGTACGCTCAGGACAAGTCGTTCACTGTCACGTTATTCATGCCGTGGTCTAAATTCGAAGCCATAAAGACGGAGGAGGACCTAGTGACGTTCTTTGAAGAGACGTTCCCGGATTCAGTGCCGCTGATGGGTCAGAAGTTACTGGTCCAGGAGTACTTTAAGAATTCCAAAGGTAGCCTAATTCAGATTAAGGTGAGTAAACCGTACTGCTCAAGGTCAATGGATCAATAGTAGGTAGTAGTTAACGATCGATTAAAGGCGCGACCCTACCATTTCCGGGACCGCGTGGTTGTGATAGGGGATGCAGCACACGCCATGGTACCTTTCTACGGACAAGGAATGAACTGTGGAATGGAGGACTGTATCGTGCTTGAATCGATTTTAACGAAACATTGTGGATTGCCTTCCTCCGGTCGACGTCCTAGCGCAGACACGCTGGCAGCCGCTTTGGAAGAGTATACAAACACACGTAACCCAGATGTGGAGGCCATGTGTGACCTGGCAATGTACAATTACATTGAGATGCGATCGTCCGTAACCAAGGCAGGATACATCTTCCGTAAGACTGTTGAAGGCTGGCTACATAGGCTGATGCCTACCGTCGTGATTCCCTTGTATACCATGGTCTCCTTTACGCGTATCCCATACGCGGAAGCAATGCGCCGTTGGGAAAGGCAGAGCAAGTGGTTCGATCTTGCGCGGTGGATAGGGGAATTGGTGGCTATATCGACTGTGGTGGGGGCTGGATTGTACTGGGGAGCTCGGTGGAGGGGGGTCCGTGAGTTACTCTGGCGACAAAATTAATATTATCTAAAATAAATAGTTTACCATTGAAGATAACTTACTGTACGTAGGTCGACGTGGCATTTTGGCTGCGTGAAACAGCACTGGTAGCACTGGTGAACAATAACGTATTCCAAGGTTGGCGTTCTTGTTCTAGTTGGTAAACTGCGCGCGTTCTGGAATATCTTGGACGCGTTAGCCAGGTGTTGTGTCGCACACTTCGGAAATTGTGCTTTGGGAGCATGACGACGCAACCACCGCCTGCACTGGGCGGAACAAGAGAAGGCTTTCGCGAAGACACGGACGTTGTTTTTGTGGTTGGACCACAAATATTCACTGCCCATAGGTATGGAAAGTATGTGTTTTGCACTGCTGGCTTCTAGAAAACATGTGTGCGGGAATGGTGGAGAGCGAAATTCAACTTCCACTTTTTTGCATCATGTCAGCGTGGAAGTAACAATTCTCTTCACAGCCAGGTCCTGGCCGGACAGTTACGGCAATTCGCACACTTGTCAGTATCCGAACCACCACCACCTAGACCCATAACTCTGTCCCTCCCGCCCTTTATCACACCCCCTTCTTTCGAAGCCTTCCTCGGCTATCTTTATACCAATAAATACGTCCCACCATTACCACCAGGAACACCACCGGACCTTCCAAAGGACCCTCCTAGAGAGGAAACACTGCTCTATTCTGTAACAAGACCAAAGATACCACCAACTTCACCAAGTTTACTGGTGGAGCTTTATCGGTTGGCACAAGAATTTGATGTAGAAGAACTGAAGAATCTTGTGGCGAAAGATATGGTGGGTCGACTGAATGAATCAACTGTTTGGGAAATGCGACGTAAAGCATCAGAGTGTGGAGTAGAGTTGGTTACTGCCATGGCCAATGCGTTCATAACAAAGAATGGATTAGTTGAAGGTGCGGCTGGATCTGGAGTGGGGACGGGGCAGGGACGGCAAGAGCAACGACCGATGAAGAGAGTGGCGAGAAGGTTCTCGCCCACAGGAGTGGAGCTATGACTGTGACGGGAATTTACCGCTCAACAAGACGAAGAGAGCGTGCGGCTGTAACGATCGTAGTAATTTGGGACTTTGATTTAATAAACTAATATACCTTGTCGATCAGTTTTTAACCTGACAATGACACTGACATGATCTTTCCCGCTGTACCGAGAAAGATAAGCGAACATGATGGCGCCCGTGGAACCACGTCGAACGAGCTCATATTTACAGGAACGCCCAAAATAAATGTAGATCGCGCGGACTATGCTCCCTTCTCGTCAACTAGGTCCTCGCTCATCAACACATATTCCCTAGTGCTAAATCCAAACTTTAATGTATCTCCCAATTTGAGCTCCACGTATCGTGATGCAGGTATCCGATCACCATTGATATAGGTACCGTTTGTCGCATCCAGATCAATGATGTAAGGCCTACGGTTATTGTAAGTAAATACACTGGTCGGGGTGAAATGGCGTAATTAGACTCACTTTACTGTCCGCGTGCCTTGTCCTATTGCATCTGTGTCAACAATTTGACGGTACTGTAACACTGCATGCTGTTTGGAGCAGGACGGGTGATCTATGGGAATATCTGCAACCTGGAGACATCGCACTGTTACTATCAATGGGCTTCAGAGAACCAGCTTGCAGGCTTACCAGTCGGTCGCGCCCTATGAGAAACGCGCTTTGACGATGGATGTGCAGCATATCTGTACAAAAGGTTATATCGATATGAGGAGACACGATCGAATCCGAGTTGAAGAAATAGAAATACACCAACCTATTTGGTCTTTTCCTTTGAAAACATACAGCCTATATCGTCCCTTTGGTTTCCGCGCCTCGGGAGGTTCACTGAAGAGAGGATACCGTACAAAGATTAACGCTGTGTATACAGACAGCGAGCTATCAAACGTCCATATCTTACCTGTATTTCAGTACGACACCTTTATACGTATTCTGCTCGGCCGCTAAAGCGCCGGAAACTTCAAAATTAGGTTGCTCTTTTGGAATAGTAGGTACGGCCTCCTTGTTTTCTGTTTGTTCCTGTTTTCTGTTGTAGCAATCATTTAAACAGGGCACTTTGGGACAGTGCAATGTGATCTCCTCTTACCCATATCGTTGCGATTCTGGCACGCCTTCGAAACGCCCTTCATTTCTCCGGTCACGACGATTCCCATCATCTAAAGCAGGTGTGGAGGAGCGTTAATACAAGGTCGACAAAAAGAAGCTTCAGATCTATAGAGTACCACGTCTCCTTCTCCCATCGTCCGGGCTCCGGCTTCGGCTCCTGTTTCGCCGGGGAGCGCGATCCTCTGATGGTGAGCGTCGTCTTCTTCGAGGTGGTGATCGTGACACCTCGTCTCTGAACGAGCGGCGGTCGTTCTTGGAACGCTTCGGTGAGTGGGTTGGAGAAGGCATTTTGTAAGCGACATGACACTTCTGATCTCCTCAACCTTAGTCCTACTCTCACGTGAGCTGAACTGTGTCACTGCCAGCCAATAGCAAATAGAGCGCGCCGCTCCATCGCCTCATTAAATGGCGCCTCTCATGGCTTATAAAACTGGGTTGCTGTCGTTCGAGTTTCAACACACATCTTCAAGCGTTTATCCTTCTTTTCCATCAGCCAAAACCCACACAATGACTGAGGTATGCCATTCTTAGGCTCTTGTTTGCAAACGAAGCTGGAAAGGCCGCTCACGGTTTTGTGTTCTTTAACAGCAAACTTACAAGTTCAAGGTTGGCATGAGCTGCAGCGGATGCAGTGGGGCTGTAGACAGAATCCTCAAAAAGGTAAGAGTACATAGCTGAGCGCTATATTCAGAGCATTGCAAAATTGCCAACTTATTGCTTCTCGTTGAACAGACCCAAGGCGTATCCTCTTACGACATATCACTGGAAAACCAAACAGTCGTCGTCAAGTCGACGCTTAGCCAGAATGAAGTCTTTGAGGCTATCAAAAAGTCGGGAAAGCCCGTTGAGGCCATTTAGTGTATGTAGGAGAGCACGAAGTTGGGGGTGCTTTGGAAGTCTGCGTGTTGGTAGCGATGGTTCTCTAGCATCGCAATCCCGGTTAGGGTAGCTGGTTATGTTAGATGGTTCAAGGCATGTAGCGCGAATAGATGCTGCGATTAACCACAGAATTCACACAAAAGAGTGAAAATCTAGCAGGGTAGCTATAAAAGAACTCTGGTGCGTTGAAATTGTTGAACAGATGTTATGCCAGGTCGCAAATCCATCAACAGTCTTGTCAAAGGCTGAATATTGCGCATCAAGAATTCCCCTTTTCGCTTCCATCCGTCCGTTTCTCCTTCATAGTGTCATTGTAGCATGGCCCTCCGTCGTTTTGTAGACGCAACGTGCGCGCGGAGACAACCGCCCGAGGCTTGCCATTCCCAAAACTGTGCCTTACAAACACGTGACAAGCTGGGTTGCCCGTTCCAAATTCACATCGGAGAAGGGTGTGATTACTGTTCAGCGCTTATAAAGTCAGAAAGCTCTTTACGAAACCCTCCCGCTAAGCGGCCCAAACTCTTTCGTTTTCTCCTTCTCCATGGCAGGCCGTGGAGGATTACCGGACCTGGCGTCCATGCCAAATAGGGACTTTTACGAGGTCCTGAGTGTTCCTCGGACGGCAGATGCCGAAGCTATCAGAAAGGTATGCCTTGCACCTTGATCCCTAGCAAAGTCATAACGTTTATTAACAATTCAAATATAGGCATATCGACGCAAGGTACTTTGAGCACATTGGTCCTTCTGTTGGCACTTGACGTGATCTCAACTCTTGTGACTGAATAATATAGGCACTCCGTTGTCACCCTGACAAAACTGGGCAAGACCCTGCGAATATAGAGCTTTTTCAACTCGTGCAAAGAGCGTATGAAGTTTTGAGTGAGTCGTCGTGATATATTACATCTTTGATCTCAAGCAAAGTGCTGACGGGGCTTTAGGCGATGAAAAGAAGCGAAGGATATACGATCAATATGTATAGTTTTTTCTGTTTGGATACTGAAGAGATGTATTGATTTCTAATGACACTTTGTGGCTGTCATAGGGCGAGCGGGGCGTGGTCCTAATGGAATCGATGGGAGACGTTGCCCCTTTTATTGACCCGGATATTCTACTCGCAATGAACACCCTCTTTTTCGTCGGCACACTTATTGCGGCTTTGTTGATCATGTTTCCCGCATTTATTTCTGTGCGCGCGGACAACAAAGTTTTCTGGTCGTGGGGTGTGGTGTTTATCCCGCTATTTATTGTCGATTTGTTCCTCCTTTTCGCTCTTTTATCGACTCGCTCAACAAAGCAAACTCCAGAAGACGAGGAGGAAGATGGGTTTACGGAAGATCGAACAGCAAATTTTGAGCGCCGGGAGCAGAGAGAGAAGAAGAAGAAGCTGAAGGCGTCGTCTAACTCTTTAGTCCGTTGGTGCTATTTTGGGCTGTTCCTTCTTTTCCAAATTTTCCTCGTGCTCCGTTTGGACGATACTGTCGATTGGAACTGGGCAATCGTGTTTATTCCATGGTTTTTAATGGAAATTCTCAACGTTATTGACATTACTGTCGCTTATGTGAGGACAATTCGGCAAGGAGCGATTCCCTTGCCGTACGATGAAGACCCTGAATCACAAACCCCGGGAACCCGACCTTTCTCGTCAATGGAGAAACTGGCACTTTTCTTCGATTCCTATTCGACATTTCCGCTCCGAATTATTCAAGCAGCTTTGCTGATCGCAAAATTTAATGGCGATATAAGCGCATCTTGGGGATTAGTGTTCCTTCCCACATGGCTCTGGGCATTCATTCAGATACTTGTCATCATAATGGAGCATGTGGCTGTTCGACGTGCTACCGCTGCCGCTGGAAAGCCTGCCGAACTTCGAGTTTTGCTTGTTGGCCGAATTATCTTTTTGATTATTATGGCGTTTTTCCTCTATCTAGGAGTTGGACTCTTGGTCAAACGGTTGGAGGACGGTATGGGTACACCGTCAACCGCGGTGATTCTAATTCCGGTGTTCATTATCAGCAGTCTGCTCTTTTGCTGCTTTTGCTGCTGTCTTCCATGTCTGGTGTGTTGCATGCGACGAGGGTTGGAAGCAGAATTGAATGGAGAGGATGACGTGCCGATTGGAGAGATCGTGGCGTCTGACAGGCGAATTACTTACGTAGCGACGGGGGAACCATCCACTTCGGCTTAATAATTACTTACGTAGCGACGGGGGAACCATCCACTTCGGCTTAATAGTACAGCTGTTACGCATAATACTCAATGTGCATTTTATGTATCATAAGCGACTCGGTAATAATTAATAGCATTTACAATAGCTTTGGTACTTTTTATATACAGGTTGCTGGCGCATTGGATCGGCATTTCAGAGCCCTCCAAGACGAGTTGGAGCATTTTGGCGCACCACCGGTCAATCGACTTTTTTCTAATACGCTGTATCGACAGAGTTGTACATTGATCCGCCCATTGGCTCCGACTGAGTCAGACCATGTAGAGTGAGTTCATTCTACAAAAGTGTGAGCCGTTCAGCACCAAAAATACTCTTGACGCAAGAACTCTCTCAGATGGTTTACCTCAAACTTGAGCTTGATAGAACTGATTTCGCGAATCAAGCTATTCACGTCATTTTGCAGAACCTCAAGAGGTGAGGTCTCTGGAGTTGTCTGAACTTTGAGAACAAAAGAATGGTGCAGTGGGTGGGGCATTTTGTATCCGGCAAACAGGACTTTAGAGTTTTTCAACAATTGTCTACAAGCCAACTGGGTTAGGAACTCTGCGCAAGGCGGGAAGCAGGATGTGTTGGTAAATCTTACGTGCGTAGGAGGTTTCCAAGGGTGTGATCCTCTTTCTGGACCTCAAAGGTTGCGGCGTTTGGGATCTTTGTGTCCTTTATCTCTCTGACCCTATAGTGCGGTATGTTAGAACGTGGCTTTAGATAAGGCACATTGTCGGGATGAGCTTACTTTTTTTCCCCAGGTGCCAGATTGTACAGCTCCCATGTTGCTGGTGCGTTGGACATGATGACGGAGAGCGTTGCTTAGATTTCACCCAAACTGTTGTGTGGCCTGCTTCTGCTGCCAACGACCAGTGGCACCGTTTTGGAAGCCTTGACAACTGTGCCTCATGCGCAGATATTGCATAGTGTGGAGGTGATTGAAAATGGCACTAGAATTCATTATTATCCGGATTAATCCGGTTAGTCATATCGCATAATCAGCACCCCTCTATCGCTCAGATTGGTGTGGCATGTATTGTAATGTTTTTTTTTAAACTGCGGTGAGGTGCATGCGGAAGGTCTATAAAAGGGGGACCTTCTGTCTCTTTCCCTTTCCTCTTTACCCATCTTCGACTCGCAAGCATCTGCCCACGCTCAAGCAACTCTCAAGACCAGCATGAGAATGCCGCTCTGGCAACGATCGCAGGTATGCATTATCTTTGTATGTTCCCACGCCCGTATTCCGAGTCTAATTCTGGTTTAATTAGTATCTGAACATCCTCCGACTAAAGAATATCGGAATCAAGGGCTTAGTAGGATTTCTCTCGTGTGGTGGGCTTAGTTACCCGGTTAGAACAACCGTAATGTATTGCATGTGCCATTGGGCCTAGTAGTAGTTGGTTGTAAGGAGGGAATTACTTGGCTTTTCCGAACCGGTTGTCGCCGGTATCTTCCCTGGTGTAGCTAGTGCCAGTTTCTGTCACCTCTACACTACAAGTATATGGCCATCTCGACTTTTGAATTAGCAAGGCATGTCCTGCAATTCCTCAACACAGGCTCTGTATGGTCTGGGATCTCTTTACAATACGAAAGCATAGCAATACATGCAGAAATTATTGTACTGGATGCAGTGTAGCCTACTCATGTCGTACGCTATTATGGGATGCATCTGTTCTTTTTTTTTGTTCTTTTTGCTTGTCTCTTCCTAAAGGATTGACAGTACATGCACCAATAGAGCAACCTCGCTATCTTTAATTTGAAATGTACATTAGGTCTATTTAGTGCATTAGTGTCGACAAATTCAACTGCGCAATACAGATCTGCTGGCAACTGGAACATAGCACATACACAACACCCTATCCAAAATTCAATAACATCCGCCCCATGTCTGAACCCCGACGTTATATGCAAGCTAGTATCTCCATGTATCAGATATTCCGCATCGAGTATTACTATTCGCACATCTCACTACTTGGAAGACCACCGATATCGTCCATCGGCCAAGGTCGAGCGGATTACGACTCGCCGTGGGGCAAATGAAACGAGAAGTCCCCCGAACCGATCCGCCCGGACACCCCCCCGGGGGACCATCAAAACGGATGGTCCCCCGCCCACCCCGACACGACGACGGGAGCCATCAACCAGATGGCCCCACACCCCACCCCCTCACCCCGGCACGACGGGGGGCCATCAAACCGGGATGGTCCCCCCACCTCCGCCCGACACGACACGACGGGGGGGGGGGGGGGGTCATCAGAACGAGATGCCCCCCCAAATCACCAACACCGACAGCGGGCCATCAAGACCCCCCACGACGGACGGGAAGGGGGGGACTATCAAACGACGGGATGGCCCCCAACAAACAATACGCCGGGGGAGGGGGATGGGACGATGATAATAGGAATGTAACATTGTAAAATATAAAATATAATAAAAAATTACATTATATCGTTGTCTAGTCTTTTTCCTTTTGTTTCTACTTGCTCTTATTTGGAGGGCAATGAGGACGATCCTCTAGTCTTCTTGATCTTTGAGCGATACTCTAGTTTTCCTGATATCTCAAAGAGCCTTTGGTCTTCTTGATCCTTGGGCGATACTCTGGTTTTCTTGAGCTCTGAGGTAGTCTTTAGTTTTCTTGATCTTTGAGCGAGTCCTTAGTCTTCTTCATCTCTGAACGATACTCTAGTTTTTTTGAGCTCTGAACGAGTCTTTAGTCTTCATGATCTCGTTCTACTTGGAAATTGCTTGGGACGCTGAGATCAACACTGAACTGCGCCACCCATACATGAAGTGAGCAAGTGTCATTGCGAACACTTTCTTTGGCTTTGGTGCCATCTGCGAGAACCAATGGCAGCCAATCTACCTATTTCGGCTCTCCCATTTGTCTCTGATACAGCGCCTGTCGATCTGGAGTCTTAAAACCTCTTTGGAACGTGGGGTTGTGCTTCGCGATGACGGTGAGGCATCTACTATCTCGTCACGATCTGGCCCATGCTGATATCTCGCCTCTTGAAAGCAGGGCCCCACCATTGAAGATGCTGCAGCCATCGTATTGCTCCTGAAACGACCGTCAATCTTCACTCGTGCCGACTATGATACCTGGATACTGCGACACATCCTGCGTCCACTTGCGCCTGCAGAGTTAGACGTATGGTTGCTTCTGCTTCATTCTCTTTATGGGCTTTGAGAAGCGACAAATTGGGCTAAACGTTATTTTTCCTATTGCACTATAATAGGATGATAATGTGGAAGTTGTGGAGGTTACGACCGATTCTCACCATTTGCCATGGACACGGCATTCCCTTTCGGAAAACCCGGACAGCCCACTATCCCCCGACCACTCTCTATCGCCACCTTTGCGATCGATCTCTTACGATCCCATTGTCCCATCTCCCTTGCGTACGCCTGCGCGGCGGTCATCTCCCCAAGATCGACGCTTTCGCATTACGCCAGAAACTCGAATCTACTCATTCGCGGCTCGCTATCGAATGGTGTTTGTGGTGGACATTACACCTTCCATGTCGGTCATTGACGATAGCAGTGGGAAAGCCAAGGCGCTGATATCTGTAGCTTTTGAAACGTAAGTGATATCGACGGTAATTGGTCTGAAGCTGCTCACCGATTTCGGGTAATCCTGAGCAGGCTCTGCAAGTGCCTAGACGGAATATGTAGACCGTTTTCGATGAAGAGCACAATGCGCGATGGGACCTATGATGTATGAAACCCGAGTTGTGTGGTTGTAGTCCAGCTGGTCCGTTTGAGGCGTGAATCTTACTTGATGTTCATAGGTCGAGCCGGTTATATATGTGACGGTACTGGCTGAATGCGGAACTTCCTATTTTCGCAGTGAGCAAAGCCCGTTAGCAGCAGACTTCAGTCGGACGTACCCGACTCGCGTACTGCTGCAGGAAGTTGTGGTGACCCGGAACAACATGGAAGCGGTTGCTGAGAGACTTTACGATGCGCTCAATGCTTATGAACACGATCTCGTACAGCAGCGACAAAGAGACACTCGATCACAAGCGGCCGCCTCTGCTGATTGGGAGACTCAGGACAACATTGGGCCACTTGATGAGGCAGGTTTTCTAATGGCCGACACGGCAGAGTACGCGAGCCTTCCGTCGAGGCCGATTGGAGCCAATCTGGATACTACTCCGTCGGATAGCGTTTTCAAGGCAGTAAACAGAGGATTATTTGCATTAAACCTCCTGCCAGAGGACTGCATGTCGGCATTGGTAGTCATTACGGACGGTGTTGTTAGCCCAGCGGGAGCTGGGGAGCAAATTGCGCGAGACTGCTGTAGAAAGCTATCACGCGAAAATGCAGTATTCACTATCATCCAAGTCGGGGCAGGAGATGGATATACGCCAGGGACCAATTTCGGTCATGTCGCCGATAACGAATTTTTACGATTTCTAGGTATTGCGGCTGCCGGAACGTTTCTATACGGAGCGGACTGTAACTATTTGGATGGTGATAGTAGTCCAGCCGATTCTCCTCCACCTCCGAATTTCTATCACCGCCACCTCCTTTTTCGCGATGGTTCCCTGACGAAATCGGGCACAGAATACCGGTATCGGGTAGTGAATGGAAGTCGGCGGGAACGGTCAGTTGACTGCCCGCGAGGTCGACTCTTGAACGCCAGTGTTGATACTACCCAAAACATATCACTGGAGGAGCTGTCATTCCCGTGGGATCCCACCAGTAAACCTCCCCTCGTTGCCGAGATATTATGCGGCTATCGTGATTACACTCTAAATATCAATCTGGAGTATATAATCTCTGCCCGCCTACATGAGGGCTTTGTTTTAAGTAGCGTGCATGTGACGCCACGATCAAATCGGCCCGACAAAGTCGAAGTCATCCTTACAATGCCTTGGTTCACAAACGTTACCGTCATGTATACAATCAAGACCACCTGGACAGCGACAGACCGACCGCTATTGACGGGTAGATCGCAGAAACTCCCAAGGATCGAATTGAATATTCTTGCACAGCATGCATTTGCGATTTTATTCATCAATGCCCAGAATTTGGAGCAAAAGAACACTTTTAATCATGCAATCGAGGAGAAGCTGGTCAAACTGCATGCCTTCCTAAGGAGAATCTATGAAACAGATGATTCTTTCAAGGTTAGTCTTTGCATTCTTGCCCATTAAAATGAGTGTCATCAATGAAGCCCTCATTACACATCCAGGTGCTGGCATCTTACAACACCAAATATGCCCTCTCAGTGATTCCGCAGACTGAGCAGCGAATGTTTCCTTTAACCACCGATAATGCCCTTGGTCTTATGACCTCATTTGGTGGGAGACCGGCAACTGGCTCACCGGGAAACGGTAGTCACGGAACAAACACTCCGAACAATTACTGGCAAGTGCTCGCACAGATAATGACAAGCAAATGGGAATCCTTTTATGAGTGGACTTGTGATGTAATCCTGAGATCGACATCTACGGGAGGGGAAAGTCTGAGAAGCACCAAGCGACAGGTTGCCACGATTTACCTCAATGATCACTTGACATCGGAATGGTGTACTTTTGCGGTTGGGAAAGGGCGGTTTTTAAAGTTCGTACAAAGAGACGGGGACAGTCCTGCTCACGAAATCGATACTGAAGGTGGCAAAACCGTAAAGGAAATCCCCTCTGGCTTTTGTATTTTATCGCTGGCGTCAGAAAATGAATGCCTTACCACACTTCAGTTGGCATTCTTTGGGATGGAACCGGCGGAAAGGTTGGGCATGATAACGGAGTTGATTCAAGGCGTCCGGAATATCAGTCACACCATGAGGACGTCCGGGGCTACCTTCCAACCCCTCATCGTCTGCCAAAAACCGGTACGACAGCTTCTGATAGTGTACCAGCCTGGAGAGGAGGGCGAACTTGAAGAGTCCCGTACTGAGCGAATACTGGAGGAGCCGATTAAAGTTGTTCGAACACCTCCCGATTCTGAACCTCCATCTCCTGCTTCGCGACTAGCCAGCGCCATCGAAGCAGTCGAAGCGCGATACTTGTCCGATCCGGGTTTAAAGGCCTATCTTCGCAATCAGCGGTGGGTGTGGCTTACAGATGTGGAAGTTGATAAACTTGATCTGAATATTGGCGACGATCGGATGCCTGTACATCAATTAGCCTTTCTCCTGATGTATCGCAAGAGGGTTGAAGAGGGATTCGTTACCATCAGCGAGACACCGGAATCCTTCACAATGTATCGTGAAGTTGAGATTCGGAAACGGAAGGCAATTCGAGCCGAAGCCGATCCGCAGCAGCTGGAACAGGAGCCCAACACAATCTGTGCTGTGCAGTTTGTTCTCATGAAAGATGACAAAAATATGAACGTCATAACTGAGCTGTGGGTAGAACCGATCGTCGATGGTCCGGCTGGGTCGGAGGTGGCGATAAGTGATACCCTGGGTAATATGCCGGTAGCGGCGTTATTCAAGGAGCATTATGACAAGTTAGCGGATACAATGCTCGAGGAAGATCACGACCTGTTTAACAAGCTATTCACGTTTGATAAAATTCATGCATTGGGCCGCGCGGGTGGTGGAAGCCCGGAAAATGACAACAAACCTGTTGGACGCTCTAAACGGTTTGCGTCTGCTCGCGGCTTTACCGCCGTTACGACCAAGTTTGCCCTTGGATACGTGCTAGAAGACGCAGAGTTTGCTACAATGGCGTATCATTTTCCTGCGGTGTGTGAAGGCGAGTGTGAAGAGCTACCCAAGGGAGCGTTGTCTCCTGCGATCAGTGGCGTATTGGCGTCCCCTGCAAATGGGGCCATGTCACCGTCCCCAACACCAGGGCCTTTTACATCTAGCAGCGACATGATCGCAGATATAATGTCTTTGCGTGGAGATCGATCCGGCACGCCATCTTCAAATAATTTGCTAGAAATTACCACACCTGCGAATTTGAGCCGTGCCCCTAGCCATGCCGGTCTTTTGCGGGCCCGAGGTGGCGACCTTAGCTTAACCGTGAACATACCATCGCGTAAACCAGAGGTGCAGGAAAGCACGGCGGTGCCCAATCCTGGCTATTGGCTGAGTCTCGAAGCGGTGTTTTTAGCGACAACCAGAAGGAGCAGGATCAATCTGGCCCTTTGCAGATATCTAGAGCGGATGATTGGTTTGATTGCTGATGGAGAGATTCTGCTGGGTGATGGGCAAGTGGGAACGACCTCAACTAGCGGAGGGGTAGAACACTCCAAGGATTTGCTGGAACGGGTTAAAGAAACGATAGAGAAAATCTCTGATGACAGCAAGGAAAACTTTCCCGACATCCTCCTGCGACCCATTACAGATTCCAAATGTTTTGTTAAAATCCGGGATCCGCACAGCTTTGTGCTTGTGTTCCTGCCCCATTATCCGCTTGAACCATGGTCGAAAAATAAAAGACAAGGATCTGGAGTGCTAAAGATGCTGAATACAGAGGTTAACATGGAGGGGCAAGAATCGGAGGCTACAGAGGACGAGACGTCTCCCCAGTATCTAGCGCTGACTGTCGTGGAGTGCGTTAGAGCGGGGTTGCCAAGCAGCGGCATCCCTATTACAGATGATCCTCCCTTTCAGCCCGTCGCTCCTAAGAAAGGAGGGTTGCAGGATTATAGGATCCGCACATGGACACCGTCAACTCAGGATAAGGCACTAGTTGACGGATGTGTCTTGGCGGAAGGCTCGACCCGCGGCTTTTATTGTTCAAGCAGTCGTAACTCTTCCCATGAGTCGTCTATTGCGGACGCTTCGGCGAGCGAAACCGGAAATGATACCCTTTCTGAATACGCTCAACAGTTCCTATCACAACTAAATAATGCATTCGCTTCTGCGTTTACGAAATCGGTGTATGCCGCACTATTACAGGGTTATGATGTGGAGACTAAAGACTTGCAAAGAGCAGTGGTGGCTTGCGTCGAGACAAGCATCGATATCGATATTACAGGCTATTTGAATGTGCGGATCTTGAGCGAAAGAAGAAGATTGAGCAGCATCGACAATAGCGACAACAGGGGAGGAACTGGGAAAGAGTGAGTAAACTGCAACTACGTCTGTCCTTGTGCCGTAACCTTTACATCTTTAAATTCTTCTAGAGAGGGCAGTGAGAAGGATGTTCAGGAGCTCTTTCGTGAAGTGCTGGCAGAGTACTTCAGTCCAGTCCCGTCATCAACTGTTACTCAGGGAAACGTTTACTTTTATCGTCCGCTGGTGAAAAGTGTTTCTCAACCTGAGGCTCCTCCATCAAGGTCTAATACAGGATCCACCCTCAATCTGTTCGCTACCAGTACGAGCGCCCCACCGCATCAACCTGTGCCAGTCAGTAGTCAATCTTTTGGCCCTGCTACAGGTCGAAGACGCCTGACGCCGGAACAGTCATCCTCGACCATGCCTTTGGGTCCTTTGCAGTTTAATACACTGTTCAAGAACCTTGAGTGTGCGGAAACACCGCTGTTTATTCGCACCGAGTGTTCTTTCCGAAAGCGGACTGTGTCGGATGCCGAACATTCTCAAATTCCTGTTACAGATCTTCCCGGATCGTACCGATTGGGAAATGAGAATTCAATGACTACAGAGACCACAGAGGTGTTGGATTTCACTCCAGAGGATATTGGAACGTCTGTGAGCCCGATAGAAAGTGGCGATGGGACGAGAGCGGTGTTACATTTGGTGTGCTTAACTATCCCGCAAAGTTTGCGGGTGGACTCGCCGATAAAAAGTGGTGGCCTTCGTCAGGGATCCGACCAGGATAGTATCCTGCTCAGCCCAAGCCGGGAAAGTGGAACCGGAAGCGACATTCACGAAGCGTTAGGATCGCACGCGGCATTGAATGAGCAATCCCCTCCTTCGTTGACAACAGATAAAGAGGTAGTCTTACAAGAAACGGCTCGTAAAATCGAGGCGTTACTGGAAGATGAAATTATGCACGCGCTTCTGGAGTTTCACCCGGTACAGGCCTCGACAGTTCGACTTATCGAAGGCATTTTACGAAAGAGACATGGTATCAATGCGGCCGTTGAGGATGAAGGGTCCAGCCCTGTTTTTGCTGCTACAGAATCTGGTCCTAGCTTGGCATTGAACTTTCCTTTAGTTTTTATCAGCCCAACTGTAGGGGTCCACATGTTCCAAGATGAACTTGAACAAAAGAATCTAGGCGTTGGCGGAATGCAAAGACTTGGGGACTTGTTCTGTGTGGTTGACGAATTATTTGTGGACAGCCATGAAGCTGAGAGAAATGAGTTGAGTTTGGAGGATGAGGATAGAGCGGCCTCCAACGTGCACGGACTCGGAATCTCGCTGGACGGATTGAAGAGCGAGTCAAGCAAACCTCTGGACAAGGTGGACAAGGAAGGAACAATGTCACCGGTCAGAGAGGATGACAGAACCCTCAAGGGCCAGGGGTCGTCTAAGCGGCGCAAATTCTGGCTCATTGTCACAGTGGCTGGACAGTCCGCGCAGGTGCATTTCTTCTCGAAGCGTGTAACTGGATATGACAGATTGGCTATTGTTCGCACGGTACGCCAAGGTGTGACGGACTGCTGTGAGCGGGTTAACCGGCTTTATCTCTTAAAGCGCCTGAGTGAGACGCATACTGCCAGGTAAGGAAATCACGTATTTGTTGCCCCACAGGACAAGTATTAAGCGAAGCGTATTTCTTCATCAGTAAGTACCTTATCGCTCCGACAAATCAGGAGGATGAGTCTGCACCCGGACAGTTGCGTATCCGACCAAGGGACGATGACGACCTCTCATCGAGCCCTTCTCCTCCGGAACATGGACCTGGCAATCGCTTCCCAGTTGGCCGCTTTGCCTGTCCTCTAGTCTTCCGCCATAGCTTTCCACTCCATTGGCGGCTTCGTCCCCACCAAGCGTTGAGCAGCATCGTTGTTGCCCTAGAAGCATTCGGAATAGTCAATAGGAAGAACATGCTGGTGTTTGCTGCCAAAGGATCTGTCTTTTACATGAAGATGTCTGTTGAGGAACTGGATCTGGAGAAGGAGAGGGATCAAAAGTCCGAGGCTGCGCCATTGTCGGCAAGCCTGAGCGAAGGGCTTGGAACCACAGTTCGACCGGGACTATCGGATTCCCCAAAAGGACAAAACTCGCCTCTAATGAGACGCTCAACCATATCCAGTTTGGCGCCGCCGTCTGTCGTATCTGGAGCTCCCTCGACCGGAACGTCTCGGTCCCCAGATTGGGCGCTCGTACTGGAGGTGTTCGGAGTGGATAGACCTGGCCCACAAATCACAAATGAGTTTGTAAATATGGTGGAAGTGAAGATCAATGCTCTTACCCAACATGTTCTTGGGACCTTTTTAGCCAGAAATGTTACGTTAAAGTTGACTCGAGCGGATTTGGACTTTATTCTACCCGCGGGCCGTGGCTGTGGCCCCATTCGGCGTGAATGGTTCAAATTGCCTACACTGGTGAGAAGCCCGTACGTGTTTCTGCTGCTCCTTCGACAAAATTTATTGTCGTGGTTGCACGTTCTTGGCGGTGCGGATGTGGTGTCCAGTCTGAGAAAACATTATGGTGCCACGTTTGGATGGGCGGACAGGGCCGTTGACAATCCTCAAGGGTACGTTTTTTGAAGGCAAAGTTCAGCGTCATATGGTGCTGATCGCTATTTACCCCGCTAGGAAACGTACATATGAAGTGCAGCTATCCGACTTTTCATTTTTGTATAATTGTATTCCCACCCGAAATCCGACTGCCACAGAGGCGACGGTGGGCCAAGGAATCGCTTCTATATGCTTGGCACTACTGGACCATGAGGGACGCGTCATGGTGGAAGCACCTGGCGTCGGTGCCGAAGGAGGAGTGGAGGGGACAGTGACCACTGGTGAGCTACTAGAACATGTAGAATGGATGCCCGCTCATCACAGCGGCCAGGAGGATGCAACTGAGTGGAAAGGGTATAAGCTTATTGCAGACATTTGGTGCCAGGGCAGCATCAACTTGGATGGGCTTGCTGGGCGGTTGGACACCGCCGTCCGCAACACGCTGATGGATTACATGGTTGAAGCAACAGTTGGAAGATTGAATGCCGGCGCGAAGGATTCTCCTCTACAGTCTGCCCCAGAGTTGTATGTGGACACTGTGCAAAGCCCCACGGGATCCCTGGTCTCCCCATTTTCTGCCACGGATTCGGAATCCCAACTGAAGAATGATCAGTGTGAGGAGAAAACTCCAGAGGCCGATACGGTCCCTGTGGATGACTTTTCAGAGTTTTACGGGACACTTTGCCAGGTTCTTCAACGGGCCGCAGATGCTGGGACGCCCACAGTTCAACACTTGACATCACCTGTTAACCTTCCTTCTTGGATTATTGAAGAGTTTGCTGCAGAGGTCAATGATCTTTTGACGGGCAATGGTGCTATGCTGACTCCCGTCATGCTAAGAAGGGTACTCAAGTCAACCATTGAAGGCCAAAACGAGTTTGAGGTTCACCGGCCTACCAAACGCACCTATGGCGCGACTTTTGACAATGACGGCGTTGAAGGAAAGGACTTGTATGTAGCGATCGTTGGCTTGAAGGATCTCCATGCGCGATATGGGCCGTGGCGCCCACGGTTCCCGTCTGTGGTAGACAGAAAGCAGTCGTTCGACTCGGATTCATCAGGGCCGTATAGCTCGAGCACCGCAGCAATGATGACCTTTGGAACGGTTAATCCTAGCGTGTCAACTGGAGTAAACGCAGCTCGTGGCCCGCAAGAGGACTCGGCATCGGAAAGTGCAACGACAGTTTCATTTCCGCCGCATCACCGACGCCCATCTAGGGGTTTCCAAGCTGCAACTCTAGCGACATCTTCCGGACCCAAATCTCCGATGGATGAAGTCGTGTTATTTTCTGGTAACCTGCATCCCGCCGTATTGGAGTTGGGGAGCAGGAGCAGTTTTCTAGTGCTATCCATGGAAAACGAGCAACTCGGCGTTTTTACATATAACTGGAATCGTGCGTATTGCGATCTAGTATTCAGCCAGATTCTGCGGATATTGAGCTGGAACAACCTGCGTATTCAATTTTTGGAAAAGGAGTTTGCTTCGTTGCAACAATTGGGAACAACGCGTCAGCTTAATTTCAGAGTACCCAAGCAAAGGTCAGATCCAGAGCAGCCCGTGCCTGCAAGCTACGGAGGAGATTCTGTGGCTATGGCCATGGCGACGCATTTTGCTCAAAGGACTGTGACGACACCTGGAACACCCATGGTGGAAAAGGGCACGTCGGGCGCTGTGGTCACGACAACCGATGCGGGAATTCGGGTTGGATACGGCATGGACGTGGATACTTTGCAAAAACATGCTGTAGAATTTCTGGACTGGTTTGTGCGGCACATACGTATGAACCGGCGCGATGGTGGTCTTTCTGCCGGGCACTTGACTCCTTCGGTCCCATCCGTGTTTACTGGTCAGGGGGAAGGTGACCGGCCTGACAGTGCAGGTGGTAAGGGTACCACGGGTCCAGTCTTTATTAGTGCGTCTGACATGGCGGAGATATTGCGCTCCGTTCGGTTGTTGCACTTTGTAAAATACCCTCTGTTGTTTACGGAAATTCGTGACCAGCTTTTGGGTCAATCTCTCAATCTGCCTTCAAGCGGAATACCAGGAAGTTTGGATACGCCCGTAGGAAAGGAGCTGTCATCTGCTACTGCACCAACCCCTCTGCTCTCCAATGCCAGTCAGGCCACTTCGTCGGGATGGATAAACTCAAATTCAGTTGACGATGAGACGACGATGCGGTGGTATCGCGAATTGATCGATACTTATTTACGGGATTACGTTGCATATCTACGGCATTTAGGGCTTGATACTGTGACTAGTGGAACTGGCGGCACTTTGTTTGCGGCTTCTTCGAGCGTCACGCCGAAATTCTGGATTTCAAATCGTCTCTGTGTTGATGCAGATGTAACGTATCTCGTGCGCTGGTTTAGCACTGGGGTTTTGATTGCGCAGGTTGGCGTGGACGGGATTTTTGGTTGCGTTAACCTGTACACTCTGAGCTATTCAGAGGGCATTGGTGGGCATGTGGATGCTGCAGTCGAGGCGCGAGAGAAGGATCAAAAGGACGCATCGGACGATTTTATGAGTGCGTGTGCAAATCTAAAGGCCCTTGTTCATGTTAATTCATGTGAGTTGTGTGTGTTTTTGCGCAGTGTTGGTGTTTATTTGGATCTTTCCCTGCTCTGAACTGATTTTTTGGTTTCATGGTAGATTCGTACGATTTCCATTTGAGATATTTTCAAAATATCTTGGAACGTCGCGTACGACAGCCAACTCCGGTGGATCTTCTCTTGGTGATGAAGGCTTTTATGCTCTTCAACCCGCGTAAAGCCAATTTTGCATGTTCCCGGATTCATCATGGGTCTTGCGCCATTGATGATGGCCAAGTATCGAGTTCGCTGTTCCAGTATATTCTCAAGAACCCATTGCGCTACGGGTTTTTCCCTATTGTTTACCAGGGCCAGCCTATCGCGTGCTCTCTTACATCCACTACGCCAGATTTCAGCCGACCTGGAAGTGGCACCTTTGACGATGCCGTCGAGGGTCCAGAGACTGTATACACTATCGTGGTGTATTCGACTGTTGAAGACAGTGCTACGGATACTGCCACGCTCCGTGAAGAACAACGTGTCCATCAACGTAAAGGAAGTGCCGGAGCGTCATCAACGTCCGCTAAACTCAACTTGCGTTATTTCCTATTGGTTGTCAATATGAAGAACGTCTTCCCGCATCGTGATTTGGATAATAGTCGGTCATCTGTTATGGGAACGGCGATGATGTTTGATCCACTGCATGAGTATTTGGCTGGGGGGTATTACTTGAAGGATATTGTGCGGCACGCGGAGCGAAAAGTGGAGCGGTTGGTTGAGCAGGTAAGGGGCACTACTGCTGTATTTACATCATGGTTTGACTCTGACAACATGTCCTCTGTTTGAAAAGGCTCTGCGATACTATGGGCGTGATAATTTGTGGCGGCAATTACTAAAAGCCCAAGATCCTGTTTCCTTGGCAGCCGCCAACCCGGAATCTCCTGACAGCGCTCCTATCGATGACGGGATGTGTGAATGGACAAAACTGTTTTTGGAAAAGATTGCGCCGAATTCCCGGTCTCTACTTGATATCGATCCAGATCTCGCAGATCTGTTCAACAGCCAGGCAGTTCCCTGGCTCAGGCTGCTCGATTACCTAAAATCATACTATTCCTACACGGCCCGCGATCTTGTAGATGACAGCGCGACTGGGCGGCGTCATTTGGTGCTCTTTAATCCGCATAACGGGGACTATCTGCTCCATTTCGTGCTGTCACCTGTGCGATCCGACGTTAGCCCCGTTTCTCCTACATCTGAAGCCGATGTGACTTCCCGTCATGTAGGCGCATTGAATCTTTTGCCACTGGCGGCACCCATACCTTTATCCCTAGCGGGTGGAAGCGTTGTTGGCACCGATGAACCTCAAACACCACTATCAGGGTCGAGCACTGAAGCATCGATGGGCGCGAATATGTCAGAGGCTCTGAATCGCAATCCACTTGATTCTCGGGACATGGTGTGTGAAGTCTCTGCGGTCTCTAGAGAGGGAGTGGCGGATGAAGTGGAGTATCAGCATATCAATGACGTTGTTAATACTATTTCGTTTTGGCTTTGGAGTGAGGTGACCTGTTTTATGCGCTGAAGAGGGATGGAGTAGTGGTGGATGAGTTTTGGGTTATGGGCTACGTTTTTTTTTTTTTGGTATATTGTATATATTTTGGTAGAATGGTATTGTGTTGTAATTAGCATTTTTTTCTTGAAGGATCCCGGGAGGTGTCTATACGTTTGTTTTTTTCTTTGATATGTCTAACGGCCATCTACTCACAGTGTTTTAAAGTGGGCAAGACATGCATGCCCATTAAACGCCGCATCCACCCTACTGATATGTTAAAACTCGAGAACGGACAGTTTTGGGAATGTGTGTTGTGTCAAGTCAAAGTCGGGGCACATCCAAGTTGGCTAGTTTTTACTGAACGTTAACAGAGTGCGTGTCTCACCCTATCCACGTGATTACTTACAATTGTCGTTACTTTTTAAAACTGAGTGGAAACACGAATATCCGGGAATCATACGATTGGGGCGTTTTTTTTTAAACTTTTATACGGTGCTTTGGGTTTCTGTGGATTTTTTTTTGGGGGGAATTTGGATATGTGGATCCGGAGTGTGTAGATGGTGGGGGGGAACTGATACGAGGTTGGGGGGAGGAAGGGCATTTGCGTTCAGTGTTTGTTTTAGAATTGAGTGTGTTCTGTGTTCTAATGTTGAGGTTATATGGGGAAAAGGTAAAAACATCAAACGAGTATCAACACCAGCCATTCTATTTCTATCGTTGAGGTTTTCTTAATGCTTCCTTGTTTGTTATGTTCCGAGCAAAGCTTTGCATGGGTAGTTGACATTGGTATGGGGTTTCATGTGTTGGATATATACATCTAGTTGGGTTGAAAAGGTTCGGGACTTGTTGTAATGGAGGTACCCTGTACTGCTTTGCATACGGGTATGTAGTATATGTAGGATTGCAAGTAAAAGCATACAGCGTTTGTCTTTTTTTGTGTGGTATTTAAGGTTGAGTGGTTTATGAGGATTTCTCTCGTTCTCTTTGTAAAAAAAAATAACGTTTTGGTTGTTTTTGAACAAAGAGCTTGTGTTGGCTTTTTGGTTTCTCTCTTTTTTTTGTTATATTGTAATTTGCACACACACACACACACACACACACACGTACAGTTTTTGGTGCATTATGGTTCATCTTGGTTTCTATGCGCTTGTGGCTACTGCGGCTGCATGTTTGGTGGATGGACATGCCATCTTGGTAGATCCAAAGCCTAGAGGTAACAAAAGTTTTTTGAATTTTAGTTTTTGGAGATGGGGCGTAAATGGTTTTTTTGCTTAAACACTTTTTGTGTATGCTTTTTATTATTAGCTGGACAAGGACTTGCCCCCGGTCCAAAATTTGGAAACTTTCCGCCTACAGCTGAGCAACTCGCTGGATGTGCGAATTCGACTGCTGGCCCGATTTCAAAGACGTTAACGGCTGGTCAGAACATTGATGTTAAATGGGCCGTGACGATTCCGCATGTTTCTGCTCCGGGTGTCCGGTTGGCGATTCAGTGGGCTCCTGGACAGGCGTTCCAGGTTTTGGCGAATGGGCTTGATGTTTCAAAGAATGGTATGTTCTTGTTGTAAGCTGTGGGTTTTTATGTGTGTAAGTGTGCCTGACACTTTTTTTTGTATTTTTCGTTTTAGGTTCGAGTGTTGCCCTTCCTGCCGGCAAAACGTCCAACGCCGCCGTTCTGCAATGGATGTGGGCCTCACAAGAAGACGGAGGATTCTACCTCGAATGCTCAGATGTAGCCGTCAAAGCCCTCCAAGACGGTCCCGGGGCGCCTGGTCCTGGGGCGCCTGGTCCTGGGGCGCCTGGTCCAGGGAAAACTGCAGTCCCTCCTCCACCGACTCGAGCCCCCCTTCCACCGCCCGCTACGCCCGGACCGCCCGGACCGCCCGGACCGCTTCCGACACAGGGGGGTCCCATTCCGTTGCCTCCTCCTCAGGCGCCGAAACAGACTCAGGCGCCTACGCCTGGGCCTGGGCCAAAGGCGGAGCCTCCAGCGTCAAAGACTACGACAAAGACAAAGACACATGGGGCGAACAAGACTGCCGCGGCGACTAAATGTAAGTTTTTTGTCTTTGCATAACGTTTCTCACTTTTGACTGTTTTCTTTGATGCGATTTTGCTGATCTCCATTTTTTGTTATAGCTCCCAATCCCCCCGTCTCTGGATCGGACAATGTAGCTCCCATTAAAGCTGCTACTGCCGTCTTGGCTGCTGCAGCTGCAGCCGCCATGGCCCTATTGTAAGAAAAAACAATAGCCCCCCCGAGAAAAAGAAAAGCGAATGCGAAAAAACAAAAAAAAAACGGACAAAATAAAAGCAACAGGTTGCTTTTAATTCTGGCAGTTTATATCTGTTCTTTTTTCCTTTGTAAAGATGATCCCCCATTCTTGATTGTAAACAAAAGCCCCCCTTGTATGATTCTGTAGATGAAAAATTGTGTATCTGATGTTTTGATTGTTTTTCTTTGTATATAACATGACTGACGAAAAGCATGTTTGGTCGTTTGTATAAAAAAAATGTATTTTAAAAACGTGGAGTTATGGTTGTTTCTTTTGTTTTTGGATTTCTGAATATGTCGATGTGGACTGTCTTTGGTTTTTCAGTTTGTAATGGGCATGGGATTGGACGAGAAACTAGGTTGGAAAGAAAAATTTTCCATATCCTATATCGAACATTACAAACATTACGTTTTCTCCTCTCGGACATTCAGATAAAGTGTGTACGGTACAATTGAATATCATAAATAAAAACGTGAATGGGTATCACTCAGATGCATTTATCGGCCTTAACCGAAACCATTTTAACAAGGTCTGAGTTTGATCTGCTATATCCTCGAAACGGTACAATTGGATATCATAAACAGAACGGTTAATGAATATACATTAGATGCACGCCGAACCATTTTAACAACCTCTGAATTTGATCTGCTCTATGCTTGAATCGAAAATGTCTATTCAGCCTACATGAACATGTCAGTCTCCGTTACAAACCCTTCCGGTGTGTAGCTTCCATTTATTTCAGTTATCTTGTCCAACATTTTAAATGATTGTGTACAGTACAATTGGATATCATAAACAAAACGGGTTACGAATGTATAGCGGATGCAAGCGTCCACGTCCCGAATCGAAATCTGAATTTAATTCTACTATATCCTTGAACCGGGAAAATGTCCATTCACACCTCACACCCAGACACAAGAACATGTCAGTCTTTATTACATAAAACATTTTTTGTGCGTAGCCTTCCATGCTTGTCATTGCTGTTGTCTTCTTGCACATTCAGACGTTTTGTTTACGGTACAAATTGATTGAATAAACAAAAGGATTTATGAAAGCGTAATAAGATGGAATGTGTACAGCGAACCAAATATAGAAATACCTGGTTTTCGAACTTACAATTTTAGGGTCCATCCAAGTGGAAACAATTCAGTTCATATCTTGCCATGTCTTTTTAATGACTTTTCGTTCCGAATCGTCAAGCATTTGTTTATGGGTTGTAAAGAGGTTTTGTGAAAACATATATCAGATGCGACGTACACACCGAACCGAATATAGAAATACTTTATGATACTACCTCGAAACAACATATTTGCATAAGGTTGTGTGTTCCAACATGCTTTTGAACATACAGTAACGAGACACTTTTCTATATTGTATGTTTTTTTTTTATTTTTATACGGCTTATGGGGGTTTTTTTTACGAGTTTTAACATACCTCACCAGCTTAATGAGGTTTTTTTTTCGTAACACAGTTCATGGCATTGTAAAGTATTTTGTTGTTTAAAAGTGTTTTACGCTCTCGTGAATGTTACGCAATGGCGTATACGACAAATGGTAGAAGCAAGGAAAAGAGAATTCGTAACCAAGAACATGATGTTGATGTCTAGGTTTTGTTTTGTCGATATGTTTGAATTTAAACATAACGCATACGTTAAATGTACATGCCAAAAGGAGATACGTAACTGCATTTGGTTTTTATGTACGTTTGTTTAATGCAAGTTTTTAGTTTCTTAAAATGTTGATTTAGCTTGAATGTTTAAAGTCATAGCTATCAACCCAATAGTGAATGTTTCAACGGACAAAAAAAAAAAAGATTCGCAACATTGTTCATGACATTATACCAACCTTCTTTTTAAAATGCTTACTCTATTGAATGGTATGTAATAGGGTATATGCAATGATAATTGACAAGGCGAGGAAAGAGAGGTTCGTAACTCAATGTTTTGAGGTGTTTTTGTTTTATGCAAGTAATTGTAACACTCAACATTATAGCTTTGTTATATAATCTTTTAAACAGAGTTGCAAATAATTGTTTTTATTTTTTTTTTCTTTTTGGCAATATGCTATTTATTTTGAATGTCGTCAAAGAAAACACAGAATAGTTATGGCGATAAAAAACAAAAAAAGTAGCATCATTTACTTTAAATTTTTGTGAGTATGCATTTTAGGTTCATGCAATATGCTCCTACCGTATCAATCCCTCACAGCCATTCCATCATCACACAGGCAACTCTACCAATTTGCGTCCAAAAAAAAAAAGGACACCACTTGGGTTTTTGATGAACGACATGTATAGCAAGATAACAAACAAACAAAACAGACCAACCAAACACACACAAACAGAAAACCAAAATCTAAACCTGACCAAACTCAACCAAAACCCGTCCCTCAGGAACAACATCCCCAACCACTCCAAAAACCCTCTTAACAATTCCATCCCCAGGAGCTCTAACAACATGCTCCATTTTCATTGCTTCCAACACGAGGACCACTTGACCTTTTTTAACCGTATCGCCTTTTACGACATGTATAGCGGAAATCTTGCACGGCATGGGAGTCTTTATTGTGTTTGCACTCGTTTCTGCGTGGGTGTGGGTTATGGTTGGGATGGATAGCGTTATGGGTGGGAGGTGGAGGGTTTGGTCTGTTTGGATAAAGGGGGTTGTAAGACGGGTTGAGTCGAGGGTTGTGGTTAGGATTTGGGTGGTGGGGTTGTAATGAGCTGTTACGGACGAGAATGTACGTGTTGATGTGGGGGTTTTGGTGGTGAGAGTGTGGGTTTGGGTTTGGGGGTCTGTGGTGACTGTGACTTTGTGGGGAGTCGAGTTTTGGTCGTGGAGGGTTAGAGTTCGGGTCTGGGGGTGGTTGAGGCGGAATGAAGGGAGAGTTGTCCACGGTGTTGTTTCTGTTGGTGTTTTGGAACAAGTTGAGACGAGACCCATGGCGGCTTGAGCGAGGGTTTCGTGGGTGATGGGTGCAGATAACGAAAGCGTGTCAGCGTGGTCGGCTATAAATGACGTCGAAATGTCTCCAGAGATAAAGGAGGGGTGGGTAGCCAGGGAGGTTAGGAAGGGGATATTGGTTGTTGGACCTGCGACCTAAATACCGTAATCACAAAAATGCAATGAGATTTGGGGATTCCTTAATGTTTGGCAAAGAGGGCAATGGGAAACAAGGATATTGAATAAAACCTACGTGGAAATCATTTAATGCGTTACGTAGCGTGCGTAGCGCTTCAGTACGGTTCGGACCCGACACAACCAGTTTCGAAATCATGGGATCTAAAAGAAAAAAAAAAAAAAACTCGTATCAACAAAAACCCTCCCCCTCCAAAACCCATAAAAAAAGAAACAATAAAACATACCATAATAAACACTCACATCATCCCCCTGCCTCACACCCGTCTCAACCCGCACATTCGGCGCAGCATCAGGCATCTTCATATAAAAAAGCTTGCCCGTATCGGGTAAAAACCCTTTGGCAGGGTTCTCGGCATAAATACGAGCTTCAAAGGCGTGTCCGGATATTTCTAGTGAGGATTGGGTTTTTGGGAGGGGGTTCCCGGATGCGACGAGGAGTTGCCATTCGACGAGGTCGGTGTTTGTTATCATTTCTGTTACGGGGTGTTCTACTTGGAGTCTAGGGGGGAGTGGCAATGTTAGTGGTGTGTGGAGAGTACATATGGGATTGTATGCACTGTCTTAATGAACTGTGCATGTGCGTGTGCGCGTGCGTACGCAAAGCGCGCATATGCGGAAAACTATCTCTGTGTGTTGTGACAGTCGGAATAGAGGCGTAAACAAAAACCTACCGAGTATTCATCTCCATAAAATAAAACCGATCATCAAGCGTATCCAAAATAAATTCCACCGTCCCAGCTCCAACATAATTCACCGCTTTTGCAGCCGCAACCGCCTTGGCACCCAACGATGCCCGTAATTCCGGGGACAAACCCGGAGCAGGTGCTTCTTCAAGGACTTTTTGGTGTCGTCTTTGTACGCTGCAGTCACGTTCAAAGAGGTAGACGGCGTTTCCGTGGGTGTCGGCAAAGACTTGTACTTCGACGTGGCTAAAAAATGTCGGAAAGTGGGAAGTTAGCGTATGTCGTAAAACGTTCGAGGAACAAAGGGAGATGGGTACCGGGGTCGAGTAAGGTATTTTTCGACAAGGACTGTATCGTCTCCAAACGATTTGGTGGCTTCCCGTTTGGCAGACTCGAGCATGTCTTTGAAATCTTGGGGTGTTTCCACAATCCGCATGCCCTATACATCAAAAAGTGAGTTGACGGGCCCGTTTTATAATAACGATGACACATTTCGAAAAAACGTTTTTATTTCCCACCTTGCCACCACCCCCTTTGACCGCCTTGATCAAAACCGGATACCCAATCCTCTCCGCCTCGGCTTGTAATCTCTCCACACTCTGTTCCTCACCATGGTACCCTGGCACAACAGGCACACTTGCATCCTGCATAATCTTTTTACTCTCACTTTTGGACCCCATGGATAGAATCGCTTGAGCAGGGGGTCCAATAAACACTAGACCAGATTCGGTGACTTGAGTCGCAAAGGCCGCGTTTTCGGATAGGAAGCCGTACCCGGGATGAATGGCCTGCGCGCCGCTCTTGTGGGCTACATCCAGAATCCGGTTCGCGTTCAAGTAACTTTCAGAAGAAGGTGCAGGGCCAATGTGGTAGGCTTCGTCGGCCATTTGGACGTGCATGGCGGACGCGTCGGCGGAACTGTAGACTGCGACGGTTTTGACGCCGAGGCGTTTGGCGGTGCGCATGATTCTGCAGGCGATTTCACCGCGGTTTGCAATGAGGATTTTGTTAAAGTGGGGGTGGGTGGGTGTTGTCGAGGCTGTCAATTGCGAAATTTAAAGAGAGAAAAAGTGTACAGAGGGATGAGCAACCATTGTCCGTGAGGAAGGCGGACAACACCATTGCACCAATACACGTACCTGCTCGATAACTCATTCTCCACCTACTCGACACCACCCGTCCCGTCATGGTCATGCGTGAGGAAATGTAGAGCATTGAAAACATGTTGGTTTGTCCGTTTGTCGTTGGGAAGAAAACGAAAATTGACAGAATGTGCAAGTGTGAAGATGTTTTGTTGAAAACAAGGAAGCCTCTCTCTCGTTCTCAGTCTGCCCGCTTGTAAACTGTATGCAAGTGTGTACAGTACAGATACCAAGTGTAAGAAAGAAGAAAAAAACAAGAGTTGAACAACACCAGAACAACAACAAGCACACTGTAGCACACCACCTGTAAGGCCACGGGCACACTTGTTCATCAACTGGGCTTGTCGCGTGATGCTTATCACACTCTCTGCGCACACGTGATGATGGGTTTTTACTCTTTTTGGAAATGGCCGCCGCGCACTTTTCTCGCTGTTGTCTGTGCTGCTGTGCAAATGACCCATTGCCTCCCTCCCGCGCGCAACAAGAAGCAACTTTCAACGCTTTTCCTTGACGCCCTGCAACCCATTGTGACTGTGACCAGCAACGTAGACCATCCGACGCAATGCCACGAGTATGAACATAAAATGTGACTGGTTCTATCCTGTTCACACTCTTTGTTCACGGCTCTCCATCATCACCAACAGACACACACACACACACACACCACAACAGAGATTTGCATTTGTCATAGCAATTTATAAAACTCGCTTTTTTTTACTGTACAGTTGTAAGAAAAAATACAAAAGCATCCCTCTCCCTTCCTTCAAATGTCTCAAGACTAGAGAAAAAAAAAAAAAAAAAGAAAACAAAAGATCATACAAAACTCTATACACAGAGAAAAAGGCTACATTGTCCACCCCTCCATCCACCAACACACTGAAATACAAAACAGACACTCTCTCTCACGGGTACCACCGGTACCACTGTTCCCCAGGATATAGAAAGACACGTTACAATGATTTGGCTGTCGTCATTGTTGTTTTTGCTGTTGTCACAGCAACTCCACTCCTATGCACACAGCGTTCATGACGCCGCAACTCTTGAGGACGCCTAAATCTCGCTTGACACATGCTGCATCCATAGGCACGATACGAAGAATGGCAAGACGCATGACTGCGGAGATTCGCACGGCGCGTAAAGCGGGCATTGCAGCCGGGAACGGGACAACTAAACGGACGCGGACGCGCCGTTGCTTGAGACGGGGTTGTCCCTGTTGTCGGGGCGGATGCAGATGGGGCACTCGTTGTTGCTGTCGTTGTCGACATTGTCGCGACAGGAGGAGGAGGCGACGCGGATTTAGGGGAATGGTTGAGACCGGGAGGATATCGCCGATGTGTTCCATGAAAGGAGAGGGACATGTTGGGCGACGCAGAGGGAGAAGCGGGAGGAGCGGGTTGTGAGCGAATGTCAAAGGAAGAAGTGGAAGAGGTGGGAGAAGGGAGAGCCAATTCTGTCCCTAATGGATAAGCAAATGCGCCCTCTAGTTCCCGTTCCTGTTCTTGTTCCGCTAATGAAACGCTCTTTTCCATCCAATGCTGGGAGTGACGAACATTGCGAATGGGCAGAATCAAGAGCCCAAATCCCGTGGATCCCCATGACGTCTTCCTCTAAAGTCAAAGTCAAAATCCACCCAATGATGACGATCCAATACGTCAAGAGAAGGAGATGGGAGAGGAGAGGGAGGAAGGTAATAGTCTGAAGAGTGACGTTGAAACGAGTCCCTTAAGCATGGGCGAGTGAGCGTTGAGACAGGATCAAGAGGAAGAGAGCGAGGAGACACTAAAGGAAGAGGAACAGGAGGAGGTGGAGAAGAAGAAGAAGAAGACGACGAATTGACAAGATCCTCTATCCGAATCCGCATGGTGCAAGGTGAGAAGAGAAAGAAGTGACGTGACGACGACGACGACAAGTGGTGAAAGAGCAGACAACGTGTATTGTCCGTAAGAGAGAGCAAGAGTGGGGAAACAAACTTGACAAATGAGGAGAGAAAGGCTCTCTCGCTCTCGCCGTGAGTTGAGCGAGTGTGAACGGGAGTGAACGGGAAGTAAAAAAGAAGGCCGATGAAGAGTGTGGGTGGGGAAGAGACCAAAGGTAAAAAGTAGCTTTTCGCTCTCTCTCTTCCAATTCCAATAATAAAGTCAGTCTCTGCCTGTGTCGTCGGTTGCTTTTGTTTCCTGCTTTGGGTTCCTGCGTGTGCTGTCTTTAGCCAAGTTCCCTTCCTCGCTCGTCCTTGTTCAAAAAGTTGGAAATCTGCGCCTCCCCAAATCACCTTGTCATGAGCGTGGGAAAAAAGGGAAACCATGTGATGCCGCTTGTGTCACATCTGATCTCTCTCTTTTTTTCTTATCGCATCTTTCTCTTTTTATCAGATCTCTTTTATTACTTGTCACTCATGGACTTAGAGTTCATACGGATATAAAGAATTATGTGCATGACAAGAATGTATGTGTGTGTGAAATGCATGGGATTGTGTTCGAGTGCTAATACGAGTAGTCATAACAGAGTTATTTTACTTGATGGAAATCATACTGTATGGTTGAATACGAGTGTATGATGCGCAGTGCCTACAGAGTAAGTCCCCTTGCCTGTGTGTGGTTGATCATGATCATGAAAAAGGAAAAAAGAGAAAGAGATAATCAAACACTTGTTCTCTCACTTTGCCACTCGTTTTACAAATCACTTTTTGTTCCGATTCTTTCCGTTCAACAACCAATCAATTGCAACAAAGTGACGTGACCAATGGGGGATCATTATTTTATGATTATTTCACACTCTCACACTCTTTCTCAACTGCGCATTCACAACACATCATGTGTGTTGTTTTCTCACTTGGAAACTAGTAACTAGTACGTGTGTGAGCTGGGTGACTGTGTCCCACATTCCCTATCAGCTGCGCACTTGTTTCTGTTGCGCAGCAGATGAGATGACGAAACCTTTCCATATGGTTTTATCTATAACACAATTATTTTGTTGGGGAGGCTGAACTCGTGAATGGGAGAGGGAAGTATGGGTTTGTGTGTGTACCATTCTGGTTTTTTTGCTTTGCGGGCACTTGGCTGTTTCTTGGCCGCTTGCTCGTTTTTCACTTTGATTGGGGGACTGTTCCTCGGGGCCCATTGCTATATTGGCATTTTCCACGCTGAAACCCACTCCATCCATACACACACACACTGGCTGATCAGTTGGACACACACACACTTTCATCGTGATCAACATCCCATCAAAAGACCCATTAAAGCCATTAAGGGGGGAACCCACACACGCTTCAACCTTGTCCTTCTTCCATGGCGGGTAACCTTCAACCGATGCTCCCCCATCTTTTGCACACTCTTCCACGAAACAAAAAAAAGCTCCGGTGCTCAAGTAGGAAATCTTTTTACTGATTAGATTCTGGCTTTGCTCTCAACTTTCTTGGCACTGGAAGAACTTGGCGGCTCAGCAACAACTGCCCCAAAATGGCATATCAGTTACGTAATATGATCTCATGATATCACATGACTGCACGTGTGTGAGGATCGAACCAACTAAAGTTGTTTGGTCATCAACATTCAAGCGCTGCCAAAAGGTTCTCAGCAGCCCGTGTTTCTTTGTAGTGGCACATGGTGCATTGCTGGTTTTTCGAGGTCACTCCGATTACAAACTTTATATCGGATACCTCCCCCAAAACGTTCTCTCTCGTGACGCATTCCAATGGCATCCCCGCAATGCCAGCGGGTCGTAGACGGACAAGTGGACGCCAAAGACGAGAAACAAGATGAGGAACAAATGCGGGTGTCCGTGCTCCAGCAGCACCGTCGTCCCATCCAGAGCGTAGCGTGTCCCCCCATAGATAGAAGATTGTCCTCATCTACGGGATCCTCCAAGGCGCCTAGAGGTGAGTGGATAATGGTCGAGATTGCCGATCGGTTAGTGTGACGCGTCATCCGTGTCTGGGTTGTAGATATTTTGGAGCAGAAAGAGTTGGGACCAAAGTTGATTATTTTTATGGTATGTTTTTGTTGGTATTTGTACTTGTGATGATCTACATGACATGTTTTGTTCAATGTGATGCATGGCATCTCTTTCTGTTGTAGGTTGGATTGCCTGCAAGAGGAAAGTCATGTATGTTGATTATGTCATTTTGGAATGTCTCTTGTGTTTTGAGCTTGTTCATGACACTTGTTTATTGGTCATTTTAGATATTTGCAAAAAACTCGTGCGATGTACGTGACCTTTTTTTCGTACCATTGTTGTGCTTGTCAAGATGGCGACAACTCTTGTAATGCACAACGATAATATGTTGCTTTGTTTCTGTAGATTTATCTTGGAGTGGATTCAATACGCGTGTGTTTAATGTTGGCAATCGGCGTCGGGTGATGGCTACCAGCACTTCCTCCTCACCCCCACCACCACACGAAGGTCCTCATGAGGCAACTCATCAGGTTCATGATGATCATGTCAACAGTGTGCATGCGGCGACGGAATCCCATCTGGAACCGCCTCACATCTCGGTCACACCCCCCCGCACGCTCCCATCTGACCGTGCCGATACCCCGGAACTCTTGGCGCCCATCCCCAAAGTATCCTACAAACCCCTCAGCCTCGCTCACCTCCTCCTTTCAAAATTCAACAATGGATACCACGGCCCCGTCCCAGAACCCTGTCCCTCACCGGTCGTCAATGCCGCACCCGGCACAACCCACGATGCAAAATTCTTTGACCCAGATAACCCCGAAGCCAAAGCCGTGCGCGAGAAATTGGCTATGGATACCCTTGAAGAGATTTTTGAGTGGTTGCATGGGGGTGGTAAAGTGGCGATTCATGATGCGACCAATTCAACTGTGCAGCGACGTCGTGCGTTGTTGGATCGCGTTAAGCGAGAAAAGGGTGTCAAGGCCATGTTTATCGGTGCGTAAGTAGTGTGTTCAAACACAACCCGTCTCTTGAGGATTTTGTCTTAACAACTTTGGCTTTCAGAGAGTATATGCACCGACAAGCGCGTCCTAGACGAAAACATTCGCATGAAACTGCAGGGCCCCGACTACAAAAACATGCCACCGGAAGAAGCCATGCGCGACTTTTTGGCCCGTACAGCAAACTACGAACGGGCCTATGAAACAATTTGCGAAGACGAAGAACGACAAGATGATTTAGAGTCGGTTGTTTTTCATTTTATTTTTTTTAATGTTACTTTCTAGGTTTGGACTAACGCGTACGCTATAGGTTTATTAAACTAGTCAATGTGGGGAAAAAGGTTATTGCAAATAATGTGCATGGGTACCTTGAAAGTCAGTGTGTCTTTTATTTGATGCAAATGCATATCAAGCCTCGCACGATTTGGTTGACGCGGCATGGGGAGTCAGGCAAGTATTGTGTGTGGTGTCGTGTGTGTACGTGCGTGCGTTTGTGTGTGTGTGGTTTTTCTCTTTTGCAATTCCCCCACTCCACTCGCCTTTCCCCCACCTAACGTGCAAAAAAGCTAAAATATTACGACAACTCTAGAATACAATGTCACGGGTCGTATAGGCGGCGACCCCCCGTTAACCCCCCTCGGCCGCCGCTACTCCTCCGCCCTGGCCCGCTTCCTCAACCAATTCCACCCCCCAACCCACACCACCCCCCTCGACGACAATTTCGGCACAGACCGCCACGCCCCTCTAAGCATCTGGACCTCGACCCTCCGCCGCACGTTTGAAACCGTCGAAACCTTTGACGACACAACCTACGACATCAAGCGCATTAAATTCCTAAACGAAATTTACGCGGGTGTATGCGAAGACCTTACTTACCAAGAAATTGAACAACGCTACCCTGACGAATTTTATGCACGCCAAAAAGCGAAATTGGTGTACCGGTATCCTGGACCCGGGGGTGAATCCTATGTGGATGTCATTGAGAGGTTGCGACCCATTATTATTGAATTGGAGCGGATGCAGAGTAATGTTTTGATTGTGACGCATCAAGTTGTATGTAAAACCGGATGTTTCCGCTCTTTTTGACTGTTGTTTGGTAATGCGCCATCTACTGATTTGTTTTTTTTTTTTTTTAAAAAAAGGTCCTACGTACCCTTTTATCCTACTTTATTGGTATCCCACTCGACGACATGCCCACCCTCTCCGTCCCCCTCCACACCCTCTACTGTCTAAAACCAAAACCGTACGGTGCTGATCTCGTTAAATGTAAGCGAAAGTATTGGATTTCTGTTTTAATGTTTTTTGTTTTTAATTTTTTGGGAATGGTTTTTTTCAGATTGGTATAATCCTGATACGGATGAATTTGAGCAACTTGGGGATGGGGTTTAAAGGGGGGAGTAATCAATACAAGTGGGTTTTGTCTTTGGGGTTGTCATCGTGTATTTTTTTTTTGTTTGTTTAGAAGGGTTTGTTTTGGTCAAGATAATGCTTTCATTATTGATGCTGCAGTATATGGTTTTTTAGTGCACGTGTGTTTTGGGTACATATGAATTTGTGGTATTTTGCCATGCGGCTTTTTTTTTTTTGAGTGCATTATTGGATTGTACTGCATCATGATTTGCGTAGTGATGCTTTTTGCACAAAAGGAGAGATGAATGTAATGCATGAGAAAGAATGTTTGTTTAGTGGTTGTGAGCGAAATAAATGTCTTGTTGGTAGATGGGACATACAGTTGCTTGCTCCCCTTCTCCATTTCTGATATGTTACCTATCAGTCGGACATTGCTAATATCGTCTTGCAGAGAGGGTTGTACTTGCAAACGAGTTCTAAACCGTGTTAATAATCAGTTGATCAAGGCCCTTTACATTGTGTATTTACAAAATACATTAAAAATTACATGAACATGAACGTATTGCTACACCCATCTTGATCTAATCGCCATAATAAACAAAACATACAAAAAAAAAAAGAAACAGAAAAAATATCATGCAAAAATAAAATGTTGATAAAATCATCCCCACCCAATAGAAAAAAAAACCCGTTTTCTCCTCCCAAAATACGTTTCCAAATCCAGTACCCCAGTTTCCAGTGCCCAATCCAACTCTTCCAAAACTTTTAGTACACCATCTGGGGGTGAACATAACGTTGACGTCGAATTACTGGTTTCATCACTTTGTCGAGAATGCATGGAAGAGGTTTCCCATTCCCGACTGTTTACAACACCTACTGGAAAGTACCCCCCCGTCCTCGTCGTCACATTCATCCCAACACACCATCCATCTTTATATACTTTTCGGATGGTAAGTGTATCTGATGGTGTTACGAGTGTTTCGTCTGGACGCGTTGGTGTGTGTTCGTGGGCGGCTGTATAGGGTTTTGTCAAATTGATTGGATGCCGTGGTTGGGGGAGGGATTGGAGGGGGTCATTTGGGAGTGTGTATAAAGGTTGTGGTACAGGTGATAGATGTCGATCGGGAAAAGGGGGGATGGTGGGTTGGACGGTTATTACCGAGTCTCTTGATGGAGACGGTGGAGGTTTACTTGTATGATCATCTTGACGAGGTTCAATTGTATGATCATTTCGATATCGGATCCAGAATCTCCATAATCCGATCGCGAGGATCAACACGCTTATGGCTGTGATGGCTACCACAATGGGTAACCCAATCGTTAACCATTTACTCGTCCCCTCTGGTTCACGTATAGGAGGAGTGGGTAAGGGTGTCTCGAGACGACTAATCACAACTTGTTCCCATCGTCTTGTCCTTGTATCCAATGCGTAGAGTCCTGTATCGACTACTCGATCCCGTCGTAATCCCCCTTGTAAACCAATGACACCATTCCCGAGTTGAAAAAGGGCTGGACGGATGCGTGGGGGTGGGATGAGACCCGTTACGGGCATGGATGTCCAGACAAGTGTCGAGAGGTTGAGGACCCATGTATCGGTTAGGTACGTTCCATTAGGTGATATGCCTCCTGTTACGATAATAGTGTTCCCGTTCACGGTGCATGTCGGGAATAAGCGTACCGGAGGTGAAAACCCTATTGGAAGCAACAACAGTGAAGAAATCACCGGTGGTGTCGTTCCGAGACCTAACACCCACGTCTGATTATTCCCTCCGTTCGTTGTCGTATTTCCAAACAATGTATAAACATTGTTGTTGACTTGGACCGTACAATGTCCATATAACCCGCCAGCAGGTTCATGCACAACTCGGACTTGTGTCCCATCTAATAGGGATATCGTACCTTGTACGGCCGTTTCCCCTGTTCCAACTGCCCCACAACTCCAACAGGACCCTCGTCCACCCACTAATACCAATGACCTGTTGATAAACACTACTTGTCCATCCGCTACACCCGTATCATCTTCCACACCTCCAAACGTATTGAAAAATCCATTAACAGCAACAACACTCCAATCCCCTTTTTGTAAACTGAACCTCCAGACGCCTCGTCGACTCCGTGGTGCCAATGCTGGTGCTGTCCCTTCATACCCGCCCATACAGTACACCCCGCCATCCGTTTCGATAAATGTACATGCGTGCCCTATGGATGGTGGAAAGGTCCCCGATGTGGATAGTACCGTCAACGTACTCGTACTCGGAGTGTAAAACAGGGTTGGAACCGTCGATACTGGAAAGACTTCTACACGCGAAAAAACCTTTCAATAAACCCATACTAGATACATTCAATCATGAACATTTACCATTCACATCTTCAACAACCGTCTCGACACCCCCAACGACCATAACCCGCCCTTGAACCCCAATACCGACATGTCCCCATCGAAACGGAACCTCCACAGACAAATTCTGCTGTGCACGGACACTCCACAATGTTATCCATCCGATAAGGAACGTAATGTATATCCCCATGGGAGAATCAACAAAAATAATATGCAAACCCCCCAACAAAAAAAAAACAAATACCAATACTGCGTAAAAACAAAAAACCATAAACCGTAACTTGTCGTCTTGCAAGTCAAAGAAAACGAACAGCAACTGTCGTAAGACGCTTAGTCAGCAAGATCTGAAACTCGCCACATGTGCGAGTCACTCCTTTTCGTTTCATGCTGGATTACGTACTGATGAGCCCTGTTTGTGAAAGGTGTTCAAAAAATGGGGATTGCACTTTTGAGGTTCTCGACTGTGGATGTCACTTTCTGTGTGTTGAAATATCATTGTGAATTGGAGCGTTTTTATTGGAAATTCATGTCGGTGGAGTGCAAATCAGTTAAGAGATGCATCGGTTGGGTTTATATGCACTGCTCCTACTCAAAAACCACTTTTTCAATCTCATCCGATTTGCAAGTTGTGGGTTATCCCTCTGAATATCCATCAGGAATCCCGTCATTCATCATCATATTTTGGGTATCATTTATAAACAGTTTTACGGAACCAAGAGCTGCAGAGAAAAATCTTGTTGATTACAGGCAAGTTTGTTTTGGCATGTTCGAATCTTGCATGACACGATGGATTCAGCATTTTTTGAATTGGGCTGATTCTTTTTGAGTTTCTTGTTCAGTATCGCCGGTATGAGCACATGTGTTTTTTTTTTTTTTGGTTTTCATTGATAAGTACCATTTTATCACATGCAATTGCGTTCCGTAACTTCTTGAATGCTCTCCTTATCATGGAATGTATATTACTCAAATCTGACTCTTTAAACATACTGTTTGCTGTTGACGAGGGGTTCTTTGTATATGAATGACTCAGTATCAGTGGGCTTCCATCGAAAATAATATGTCTGAATGGTTAGTGTAAATGGAATGAAGTTCACTTTCACAAGTCGGTCCTATTTGTTCGTTCTAGTATGTACACTCACTTTGTCAATCATAAAAGAGATAGTCATTTTGACTGTATATTCAGAGTTTTGTGACATGTTGCATTGTTGTTCCTCATGAATACCATGAGTTATCTATATTATTTAACTCGTATGGCACTTGCCGAATGTAACTCGAGTTTTCATGTGCTATTTGGACTGTCTAGTTGCGACGAGGGAGACTGTATGATAACAACAATCGTTCAAGATCAAGCATGTATTCACACTCGCGTAACATATAAACGCAGTTACGATGACAGGAAAGATCTCTTACTGTATTTTAATGAGATATCGTATAATATCATTGTCCAGCATGACTTGTTTGAAGACTTGTTGCAACAGTGCATGCGGTGTGTGAGGGATCTATGGTGATACACTGGTTACATAATCAGAGAATCAAGTGTCAATTACTCACTAGGGTGCTACGACTCTGGGCGTGCGAGTATGGTGTGTTGGCTTGTGAATAGGGACATGCGACACATTTTGAACGAGCTTTTCATTAACGAATGCGTGAGCTCACCATATGCGCGCTTAAGGCCCCGAAACACTTGTAATGGACAAATGCGCTTCTTGACCGTTGAACAGCAAACCGTGAACAAATTCAACCGGAGGCTATTCAAAGTGAACGAATGAAATAGCTGCTACGAGGGGATACGAGCACAAATGTACCCTGTCGGAACCCGCACCCCAAAGAAGCCCATCATGTTTTGGGTTAAACACCAAAAAAAAAAGGGAACACCTTTGAAAAGCGTTCGTACTTGGTCTTTTCACGATCCCCCCGTCCATACCCTTCAAACCAATGATTGAGCAAAGATCCAAGGTCCTTGGGAAGAGTGAACAAAAAAAAAAAAAGAAAACGGCTGCGATCTAAACTAAACACTCGTTGAGCCGCAACAAAAAAGCCAAAAAGGATTTTGGAACACTTCAGTCACACTGTGTGATGGCACAGTCATGTAAAGTGAGGATCTGCGGCTTTTGTTGTTCTCTGGTCGGGAATTGTTTATTTTGTGTGTTTGTCCAAGTGCTATTCTTAGCACACTTGATGGATTTACAACAAGTGTTGATCAAAAGTGTTGTTCTGGGGGTTGGTCTTTTTTTTAGTATTTTTATTTTTGTTGTCGTTCCAAAAGACCGCTCCCAAAACCTTTTTTGGGTTTAGAGTCTTACGGCCCAATCTTGTTATTCAAGCAAAACACTTTTGCAAGCACTTGTTGATTGTTATTTTGCAAGTTGTTTTGGTCTTGTTTTTAGTCTCTAGCTTTTTGTTATTTTTTTTTTTTATTATTACGAACGTTGGGTTTCCCCGTTTTGCGGTTTGTGAGTAGGGTTGTTATTCCGCTTTCTGCCCCGTTGTCGTATGTGTGTTGTGTATTGATTTTTTACTCGCTACGACACACAAAAAAAAACACACTCTAGGTAGACACCATTTTTTGGAAGAAACGGATCACCATCGGGAAAACCCAAAACAACAAGAGACAACATATCGTCTTTATCGGTTTTCTCTTCAACTTTTGTGTGTGTGTGTGTGTTGTGTGTTGTGTGTGTCTGTTGACGGAGAATAAAGGATGCGAACCGCCGGCGGTGTTGACATGGCCATGGACGCTTCACATGCACAGCAAACACAACAAGCGTCCTTTAATGACTCGGAGGATGAGAATGTAGACTATCTGGTTAACAAGGACCTCCCACCGGATCCTTTGGAACATCGGCGGCAAAAGAGTGATTCAACGCCAACGCCCAAGGATAGTTTGGATAGGGGGACACTCAATGTGTGGAGACGCAAGGCGGGATCGTCAAAGCAGAGTTTGGATCGGTTTCGCGGTGCCCAGTATGATTCCAAAGAGTCGTTGGCGAGTCCGCCTCCTCAGGTGGGTTGTTTGTCAAAAGGGTCTTCTCTATATCGCAAGGCTGTAACGTATTCAATGTCTCTGTTGTGGCATGTAGCGAACGGTGCGGGACCCACTCATCGCCTTTGACTTTGAAAAACTCTTGCTATCGAACGAAACAAAGAAAATGACATCCACACCGGATCAGATGAAAAACATTGAAGTCCGCAAAGGACAACAGCCCAAACTCGAAGCAAAGTCCGCCGTTGCGGAAAGCGATGCTGCACTGTTAAAGTTTTTCCGCAAGGAAGTTGAGGAAGCGCTTGAGAAATCTACTGATGGAGCGACCGCGGCTCCGAGTACCTCTAGTAGTGTCAAGGAATCCCATTGGGTCGAGTTTTTAAAGTATACTGGTCCAGATGATGCATTTACCACCATACGACAGAAACAAGCCAAATCCCGCCCTGGTTTACCCCAACAACAACAGCAACAAGCAAAACTCTCATCACAACCAGGACAAACCGCCAAAGCAACCCAATCCCACCTCGATCCAACATCTATCCGCTTCCCACCCAGTCCACCACGGTCGACACGTTCCTCTAATGATACCTACCCCCGCGGCAGTTTCTCTGACCTCCGCATGCGCGACGTGGGTCTAAACACCATCACAGAAGGCGCATTGGGCACCTCACCTATCCGAGCACGAGCCCTGTCGATCCCGAGTGTCCCATCTAGTCCCAATGCATCCAACCATTTCGTCAAATCCCGGTCAACAAGCCAAATTTCCAAAGAATCTTTTGGAATCGACTTTGATTCTTTTATTACCGATCCTCGTGCCCCACTCTCTGAAATGAATCTTGACTTGGATAAAGATGCCCTGGTTGAGAAAGAGGAGTCAACTCCTTTGCGCATGCGGAGAGAGGAAACGCTCTCGACATTGGCGACACCTCGTTTACCCGCACCTGCATTGGATTTAACGGATTCAGAAGATGATGAGTTGGAGATGTTGTATGCGCCGAAAAAGAAGGTGGAAACGGGACAATCCCTTGCAGAGTTTTTGAGAGACAATGAACCTCCACCCCAACCCCTCCGAACGGCTACACTCCCCCTACCCGAGAAAAAGGACAAGAAGAAACGAAAAACGTCTGCACTGCGCTTGTTTTCTCTTGGAGGGAAAAATAAGAGTGCGAGTAACCCCCAGATTACCGCTACAGCATCATCTCCGACCACGTCCCCAGCATCTACAACTATTCTCGGTCGTCGGATTTCAAACTCTGTTGCTGCGTTGCCATCTGCAACTGGTTCAACCTCGTTGACGGTCCCCTCTCCCAATGCTGCCAACATAACATCTGCACCTGTCACACCCAAAACACCTAAATACACCATGATCCAAATCCCATATGAAGCTACAGGATCTCATCCGACACTCGCATCTCAGCCTCCCCTAGCCACATCCTCTCAGTCCTCATTGACAGCCACTGGTCGTGGATCTGTAGCAACCACCGGCGGACGACCTAGAATGCCTACCTCGTCCTCTGTCGTGACCAGCACAAGCACAGACGATGAAGGCATACCCCCCTTCCGTCGCGCCACGAGTCACCCTGGCGTATGGGAAGGCTCTGCTGGGTCAATCCCTCAAGACACGTTTAGACAGGATGTAGACGAGGATGTTCCCCCTGTTCCCAAAGTCCCCGCCAAATACGCCGCGGATACACCGCGTTCGCCCTCCTCTCTCAGTATGAACCGGGCCCGGTCTGTCCAAAAGAAACAAACCGTCATGGTTGATCGAGCGGTTGAGACGGACAAGGAGGAGTCATGTCAAGTCGGAACTATGACAGAGATTGAGGATTTGGAGGAAGCAGTTGGATTACGTGAAGATGCGACGCTTGAAGACGTGCTAAAAGGCTTGGTGCTTTTGGATCCGGCTTTTGAAGAGTTGATTGATATGGGGTGGATTCCTGAAGTCACTGCTGCGGCTGCTGTCCTCGCTAAACAAGCCGCTGAAACCCCCGAATCCATTCCAACCGAGAATGAATCGTCTTTGGTGGAAAATGATGCTGCTGAACCGGTTATCCTCACCTCTCCACCTACCCCACCGTCCCCTCCCCCCTCGCCTTCCCCATACACCACAAAAACCTGTCCACAAACCCGCGACCAATCAATTCAAACCATCCATGACGTCCTTGTCGCCGAAACCATTTACATATCCTCATCACCACCCTCTTCACCCTCTTCTGATGCACCATCACTCGACCCCCCTTCGACTGGTGCATTCTGTCCAGCCTACGTATGCCCCACCTGCGAAACCAGAGACAAAACCTCCATTCACGCCATGTGCGCTAGTATTCTTGACGATATTGTGGATGGGATTACGGGACCTTGTGGTGTGGGGATTCAAGTGGTGGATCCGAGAATTGAGGAACTGGAGCGGCGGTTGGAGGTTTTGGCGAGGATTGCTTTTAGGGTTGTTAAGGGGTTGAGTGGGCGGGTTGGGTGTGTGCCAAAAGAGGATTTGGGCAGTTTGGGGGCTTTACCGTCGCCTCCTGGGTCGGATGATGTAGTGGGTGTTGTAATGTGATGGGGGTTGGCGAAGTGGGAGGAGAGAGACGGAGCACACAAGTGGGTGGGATTGAAAGGGTTGGGTTGCTTAAAGGTGTAAGGAGGGCTCTTGGTGTTTTTCCTTTTTTCTTTTTTTGGGTTGTTTCTTGTAGGGTGGAGGGTTGTTCGCTCTCAAGTCCTTTTTTGTTTCCTGCCACGTTTTTCGGTAGGAGGAATGTAGCGATTCTTTTTTTTTTTTTGTTCTATGTGTGTGTGTGTGTGTGCGTGTGTATGAATGAATGAAAACCGTTTTTTTCGCTCATAACGCATTTGGATTTTCTCTCCATTTTATTTGATATGTTTATTAATCTATAATAGCTATAGGAATTATTCGAATCTAGGTAGGGTTTAATCCACATGTCAATGGGAGGTGGAGTCTATACACCCCATCGCCACTATAGCAAAGTGACCAGAACAGCACTCGTACATCCCAAAACCCCTCTTGCGTACCATACACTCGCTCCCTCCACCATATAGTCCAATCCCGTATAATACACCCCCGTCAGTCCAACCAGCAGTGCGTACCCTGCTAAACGGTGCAGCCGCCATGGAATAATGGGCCGGATCTGGGATTTGAAACTAATGCCTGAAAGCACCATAATGATAATCAAGAGCAGGAGCGTGCTTGCGAGGAGACTATGAAGAGACTCGAAATGGGGATCGTTGGTGTGATTCTTATGTTGGTATATCGCTATATTCATTGGAAATATGGCACATGATTAAAAAACCAATTATAAACAAACATTGTAAACAAAACCATACGTTACCCAAGAGTCCCAATCCCATCAACATGACAGCCATCATCATGAAATTAAAATGCCCATCCACCGCTTCCTCCCTTGTCTGAGGTTTGAGTTGTTGTTTCTTGTTTTTGCGTCGGCGGTTGAGGTTGAGTGTTCCTTGGATTCCAAGGACCAGTGCCGCGGTCATTGCTATTGGATGGAGAGCAAAGAGCTTGGACGGGGGAAGATGGGTTAGAGTAATCAAGGCCGTCAAGGCCAGGAGAGTGTTCAGGAGGAGAGACATTTTGCGAATGGGCAGGGTGAATGAAGCGACATGGAATGAAAGGAATCTTGCCAAGACGGGCGATATGCGGAAGTGTCGGAAAAACGGGCTCATTCCCCAAAGCGCGAACCGACTTGGACGACAGCGCGGTTCGAACCCTCAACTGGTTGAACAAAAACAACAAAAGTGTACCCGCCAAGAATCGAACTCGCAATAAATAAAAAAAAAAAAACCTGCAACATCACGGGGGAATGAATTCAACACCAAATCGCAAAAAATACAAAAAGTAAAGTTTGCCAATTACCACCACCGGGAATCGAACTCGGTTCTCCTCAACCCAAAGGGAAAGTATCCCATGAATTCAAAACTCGCAACATCCATGAAAAACCTTGAAACACGGCCGCAACTTGTTATAACGCCCTATTAAACGGTCGTGTAACGCAAGGTCCGATGCCCCTGTCCGTGTGTTTCGTTTCAACACAGTGTTTAATGTTGTCAGTTGGTTGCAAAGTTCGAAGTAGAAAGTAGCTTTTTTGTTACTCCATCGCTCTCGTTTCCATGTTGGTTTTGAACGTTTATTCCTTCCTCCTCCTTTTGGGATTTTACAGAGTGGCCTTTGCTGATCTTTTACTTGATTGAAACTTGGGTCCCGATTCAAACGCAAGATTCAAAGGAACAGAGTAACCAGTCAATCTAGTGTTTGGATTTCACACTTTCACACTTGTTCACACAGAGGATACGACATTGGGATCGTGTTCTTTCTTTCTTTTTCTTTCTAACGTTGAAATTCCTTTTGGCTAAAGACGAAACTTGCTCCATAAATTCCACCTAGTTAGTTTACCACTTTATTATTAAAACTTAGAGAAAGCAAGACCTCTCCATTTTTGCGTATTACTCAATATTGCTTTTTGGTTCTCCAGAGGGAGGGGGAACTTGCATTCTGAATTTCATTTTAGACTTTTTTGCTTGTGGAAGCAGAGGTCACAGCGTTTGGATTTAGGAGATTAGAAAGTATATTTACAGTCGTTGGGGTCTTGGCAATTCCTTCAAACTTTTTTATTTTATTCCCTTGGTTTTCAACGGTCCTCCTCTCTGCTTTTTGCAAGGATTTTTTTTCTATCGTGGGGGACGTTGAACGCTACGACAAGAAGAACAAACGACAACGATTCGCATTCGGCCACCGAACGCCGACAACCACGGACATTTTGGCAAAACCTTTTTTGATTATCGATTTTTGACGGACGGGCAACACACGTAACCATGTTATCCTCACCGATTCCAAATGACATGTTTCCGCTGTCCCTAAGTTATAACGAACCCTCGTCGCCACCGCTTCAGCACCTCCCGACCATGTCGGTCTTTGCGAATGGGATGGCGCACTGCCGCCGCCCTAGCGTGGCGAGCTCTATTATGGACGAAGGGTATAGCTCTGGTGCATCAACGTCGCTGGACATGTCATCGCCCATTGATGTAGACTGTGAACTCGGGATGGAATCTCTGGGCCTTTCTTCTCCGCTATCGGCTTCGAGTGCCATGGAAGACCTAACATTGTATGACACGTCTTCGTTGGAGCAGTATGGGCAGTCGCCTTCGCAAGGCTTTCAGGGACCGCAGAGCCTCCATGGCTTTGGCGTGAATGGGACGGAAAGCAACCGCGATTTCACTTCAGTTCCTGTGGTACCATCCAATGCCATGCCATACATGCCCCGTCGAGTGTCGGGCCTCCAACCCATCATCGTTCCTACCCGCCAACGACGAAGCCTCCCTCACGTGCCTACCGTCGGCTCTTCCCCCGTCGCTCCTTTTGTGGTGCGGAGAGCCTCGATCGCCAACACCAACTCACCACTCTCGTCCTCCAGTGGAAATCTCCCTGCTCTTCCCTCACCTTCTTCGCCCGCCACGATACCCGTTGAACGCGCGGCGTCCCTTTCCCCTGGCGTGCTTCATCAGGTGCGATCTCCTGTCCCGCCTTCTGCTCTTGGCCGACGCTTTTCCGTCCCGTTTGTGCCCAACATGTCCAATGTGTCCAGCTACGCCATGAATACACCCTATTATGGCGCACCAAGCATGTACAGCCCCACCATCCCCAGCGCAAGTCCGAGTGTCCACTCACCGTTCCAAACACTACCGTATCATCCGACCTCGGCACTGGCACCGCCCTCGCCGCCCATTCCCTCAACGCCGGAACCGGCCCAACCAAAGCAGTATGTCTTTGTCAACGAGGATCCTTCCGTCGAGCCTCTCGAAATACCAGCGTTCATTGACCCCCAGTCGGGTGACGCAAAGATTGATGAAAATATTATATCTTTATACGATTTAGAGCATTTGGAGGATACGGATTTACAGCAAGCTCTTGGTTTTGGTGCAAAATTCAAGTGCGTCTGTGGAAAATTGTTTGAAAAATTGGGAAGCTTGAAAACCCATGCGCGGTTGCATAAAGCGGAGAGGAACCATGTGTGCGATGTTTGTCAGGTTGGTTTCATTTTGTTTTTGGTTGTGAGTCTTGTAGGATTTTTGTCTGATCTACTTCTATAGCGAGCGTTTGTACGTCGTCAAGATCTAAAGCGCCACAAAGCAACTCACAATACCGATTTCAAACCATATGAATGCACACACTGTGGGACGACATTCACGCGAAGCGACGCTTTACATCGACATTTAAAAGCGAAACGCTGTCTATGAAACTCTCCTCTCATCCAACAACACATTATACTCTCCATCCACTCGATTCCAAAATATCCAGCGCACCTGACAACATCAAAACATGAAAAACATAAAAAAACCTGGCACCCAAACGCACGACCGCAATCATTTGTATATACTCTTGCATTTCTCGGCCCTTTTCGCATCACAATCATCACTTTCTCGTGTATTCACTTCAAATCAAGCGAACTTTTTCCCTTCTTTGCGTTGTAAAATAGAATACCTTTTTTCCCTCACGTTCTGTCCACATTGTTGTGGTAGACTAGATGGGTATGTAGGAGGTTTTATGTCTAAACGTTCTGACGATGTTTTGCTTGTGTTTGTTCGTAACCTTGTCTGTCCTTGTACTATTGTAAATATTGTCTGATGTGACGATGGCTTAAATCCTTTGTTATGCTGTTTGACCGATGGAGAGACTTGGAGAGCTTTTAATCGCAAACCCAAGGGCGCAACCCATCGGACATGGCTTACGAAAAAGGAGCCATTTGTCCCGATATAGTAGTAATATCATCACGTGATTGCTATATCCGTTGTCTTGATCGAGTTTACAGCGGCTTTGAGAACGAACACTTGCTGGGAAAGGCAAGCTGACGGGGGCGGGCTCATTTTCAACACGTTTGTTGCGTTGTTTGTGTTGGTCATTCCGTTGAGTTGGTTGAAGAACTTTGGTGTGTGGTCAAGGACAAGCTCAACAGAGACTTGCGGGACTATTTAGCGTTTGTATCATACCAACTAGAATCGCTGGACCGTTGCCAACTGACGACACTTTGGAGACTGTGACGAGTATAGATAGCGTCTCAGTTGTCTTTAGTGACAAACTATTGCGTTACTGTTTGGGTTGGAGGGGGCTGCTGGTGGAGTTTGAACATCTACATTTGACTTCCAAAGTGGAATGCCGCATGCGATTCACTCTCTGCAACTACCGAACGAGGGATTACCGCCGTTGAAAATAGCCGCGCAAACGCGATATCCCCTTTTCCCGTCATCCCACACCACGGTATGCATCCCAAAATGCCTGCAACTGGTGTAGAATTTGCAGTGTTCCCGTTACCCCTTCCCCTCAATCCCATCACGCCGCCCTTGGTATCGATCTTACCTGCAACACCGCCAGTTGCGACCCATATGACATTGGTTGCAGAGGATGACCAGGCGACACAGGAAGGATCTACGCAGGAAGGAAAGAATACGATGGGAGATCATTTGTCGATGAGTGGATCGGAATCGGGTGGATCGCCTGATCAGGTTGATGAACGGGAGATTATTGAAGGATATTTTGCTCAACCTACACCAAGGAGGTGGCGACGGTCCACACCTTTGAAGCGACGAAGTGCGTCCCTTGGAAGGCTGGCGGCTGAACAGAGTGATGAGAACACGGAAGCTGGATATGCGGAAGATAGTAGTGTTTGTAGTTATGTTACTGCCGTGGAAGATGGAGACCAATGTTTGAATGCCAAAAATGTGAATGCCGTTGATGGTTCTGACGAAGGAGGTTTGTTTATGATTTCATGATCCTGTAAAACTTCGCCTGTATTGAGTTTGAACTCTTCTATTACGTAGAATGTGTGGACGGTGCCGTAACTATTCCAACGGACAAGGGAATAACAGAGATATCAAGTCCTGGAAGGGTGAATCACAATGACCCGACAATTACCGTTGTCCAAGCAGAATCGGCCCCACAAACACCACCAGCAACGGCGACTGTGGAATGTCCTCCAAATGTGGCACTGCCATCAGAATTACCTGTCAACGCTGGGCGGACGGGTGATTCAGACACAATAGAACAACCTGCGGCTGGAACAAACCCGGTAGTGACGAGGAATGATATCATGCCAAGTATCTCAACAGTCCCTGTCATTCCTACGGACGTACTAGGATCATCACAGCCTGCGCCTAGTCAGGAGCAGCCGCAGAACGCATTAGAACCTGCTCTAGCACACCAACCCACTGATATACCGCGAGCGAGCTCGATCGGTTTGGTGTATGTAAACAAAGAGTTGCCTCCAATAATGCGTACTCTTCCCGAAATTGTGGTTCCTGCACCATCAACCGGTGAGATGGGACGCCCGCCACCCGAGAAGGCCTTGCCGCAATTGCCCACTGACCTACCGACAACGGTACCCACTAATGTTCAAGCAACTGCGGCAAGATCTCCAGTTCCGATTCCCGTACGATTGGCTAGTAAAATGCCAATACCGGGGCTAGTCGCATTCGCTTCACAACCCCCTCCTTCGGAGCCTAAATTGCAGGCACGTCCTTCGTTATTTAAAAAGAAGGATCGCTCTGGGATCAAAACAAGTCAGTCTACTGGAATACCCCAAGGGCCCATTCCAAACGAACACGGACACGACGCTTCTGCAGATAAGCAAACACGGCCTGATGAGGAAAGTTGGAGTGATATCTCGGAGAATGCAGCTTTGCCACCACATGCGATAGACCAAACAGCCCGGCCTGTAGAGGTCAAAACCAGAGCGTCGGCGGAGGACCTTGGGCAAAAGCATGCGGTAGCGGATGCTCACGAACCAGTACATCACGAGGACCTGCCTGTTGGCGCTGGTAACTTGCGTAGTACGACCGGTAGTGTGCGATCGCTATTTAAAAAGCGTCCGAAAATGCTGATAGAAGAGAACGTGTCGACCAACGATTGGCAAAACCAGTCTGTCGCGGGTACTGACGCAAGTTCTATCCCTAGTGAAGGTGCTGGACTGCTGGTTGAATCAGTGGCCCTGCAGGACCAACAGAAAGACGGCCCTGAAGTCGCGGAAACCACGGAAGACGATGATCTGACGCCGTTAGCTTACTGGGTTATCAAGCCGTCTGGCATAGAAGCGATGCCAGCAGCTGCTCGACCTCCTCTTCCTGGTAGCGCGAATGCGTCGACTGCATCACGATCGCTCCATGCACACATCTTTGCACCGCACGCCCAGATCGTACCAGAACCAGAACCTCCCATCGTACCATCTCGCAACAGTCTCACACTACCGCTCCCGGCAAGCGACATACCAATTCAACCACCGCCAGTAGCGGAGAGCACTACCATGCCAGCGAGTGGACGATTACACCGTCAACCCAGTGGTCGCCATCGTCGTCAGCCATCGTTAAAAGCACGTAGCGGGCTCCCCTCGACCGTTGTTATATCTCCGCGCATCTCGTCACTTTTTGGGAACACAAAGAGGCAGGAGATTTCGCGACGAAGGTTTACGTATCTTGGTAGCGCCGATGTCATGAATCCTGGCACCTCGGCCAGCCACCACATCGACAATGGACTTGGTCTAACCCCCGAGTTCGCCAACGCTATTCCGCCTGATCCGCGGGAATTCGCTACATGCCCTCTTTGTGTAGATGTCTGTGAGCGCGCTGTTCGGCTGAGCTGTTGCGCAAATGTGGCTTGCTCTTCCTGTATTTGGCGATGGTTAGCGCACAGCAAGAGCTGTCCGTTCTGTCGATCGCGAATTGGGCCGGGACATGTGGCTCCAGCGCAGGATGTGCAAGATATGGTCAAGAATTTGGTGGTGCGCTGCAAGGCGGCTGGATGTGGGTGGGAGGGACGACGCGAGCAGCTGAATGATCATTTGGCGGAGGGCGTGTGTGCATCGGATCGAACGAGTAGCGAGTCTGGACTAGGTCACAGGCGGAACCCGAGCGTTGGTCGGAACCCAATCCTAGGGCATCGACGAAAGACCAGCGCAGGGAGGGGTCAGGGTATCCCAGGGCATAGACGGCAACCAAGCTCGGGATTGGACGATGTTCAACCTGGCAAAGGGCATGGACAACCGTTGACACCATCCTCGGACCCAGCCACGACCTCGGCGGTTCCTCCCCTGCGACGATCATCCAGTCGACGTATTCTTATCCCGCTACGATCAGCCCACCCGCGCATCATTTTCAAAAGAATGTCGAACGGGGGCGGAATCGTTCGATATGATCCCACAATAACATTCCCATCCATTGGTATTCCGCCGCGAACCACGTCTGCTGCCGTAGATCCCACCATGTTCCCCAAACCAATCCCAGAAAAGAGCGTATCATCTGAAGACAAACCACCGTCCGAGATCTTGTCCAGCCCGTACGGGGATATCCCACCAACCCAAGATCCACCGCTTCCCGTTCGACCTATAGTTCATGATCCCGTCAGTGCATCTCGTACCCTGATCCGGGCCCGAATCCCCACTCGAACAATCAGTGTCACTCACAAGAGCCCACTAAACACTGGCACGCTAGTAAAACGCAACAGTTCGATGCGCGGGACGAGTCAGCATGAAGCGCTCGAATTTACTGGTACGAGCTGGGATCGAGAACCTGGCGAGGAAGACGATGGTTGGCATCCCATAGAGATGGCTGATTCTGCTGGCGATGAACAGGCTATGCATGACGACGAGTGGCGAGATGTGGACGATGATGTTTGTCAATTAGAGGCCGTCCCGGAAGATCAAGGAGAGGGTGTTTCTACAGATGGGCAACCTGGCATACTAGAAAGTGGAAACCAACTGGGACAGATGAAGACCACGGAGGAAGCTGGGATTGTATATAGCGACGAGTAGCGATTGCGATGGTGATTTTTTAATCTGAATCGTTACCGGATAAAGTGCAATGATACGTTCAGGCAAATGAAAAAAACTGATACTAGCGTCTAAAACTGGGGCGGGAAACTAAACGTCGTGGAGTATCCTACACACACCTTGTTTCTTTTTCTTTCATGTTCTTCAATCCCTTTTTTTTTGGGCGGGGAGGGTGAGGGCGGTGAAGTGATCGGCTCTTTTTTATTTAATTGTCTTTCTTCTTGTAACCCTTTTGTAACGAATGCATTCGTATTCTGAAGAAATGTGAATGACGTTGGGTCTCTGACTTTGATCCCGTCTTATTAATTATTTCGCTTGGTGAATATCAAAATGTTTTCTGCGGTATAGGATGAACCAAGTCTGTGATGCAACATTTGGGACGTTCTCTCGAAGCGTATGCCTGAAAGCCCTGAATGGCGTGTACCGTGATTTGCATTTCCACACCTCTCCATTCGTGAACGACAATCTCTTGAATTTCAGTAGGTCCATACAGAACCCCAATCCAACACACATTGAACAGTGATATGAAAAGCACACTAAAAGAAAAAAGTCATAAACCCTAATGTTGATCTTACCATTTCACACTTGTTACCCGCCATCGATGAGACACGTTTACTCTGCCGTCTCAAGTGTTCCAAAAAAACCCGCGCGCTACTTGTTAAGATTCCCGCCTATGATTTAGAGTTTGATCCAATGTACCCAAAGACACTACCACTCTGTGTGTTTTTTGGCATTTGGATTTGATGGTGGATGTTTTGAGTATGTTTGGATATTGTATTGTTGCTAGACTCTGAAATCTCTCTTTGATGAGTAAGGGATTCTGATGAATGTTATTGCAATTTTAGATATCCGGCATTCCATACTTTTCCATCGTCCTAGCTGTTGTTTTCGACACTGTCAACAATGTTATATGTTACGCCCGCTTGTATCCATCTCAGGGACCACCAATGTCTTTCCATGCCTACATCCTTTGCATCTACTGAAATTGTATTCCATACTGGATACAGGCAGTCCTACTTGTCTTTCTCTACAGTTGCATGTCTAGTTACATACTCACCCGGTCATTATCCTTGTGAATGTCACGCATCGTTCTTGGTCGCAAGTATGGGGGATATATGTATCCGTCTGTCATGGCTTTCATAGCTTCTTGCTAGTCTCACTAGCTTGAACTGATGGTGGTATTTGTCAGGAGTCCGCTTAGCTTTGACCGTCTGTACTGCGTTGGCCGTAAACCATCACCAACTCCAGACTCCTCAAAACCTCTTCTTTCTCGCGGACCGGTCTACCTCACGGTTTTACCTTATGGGTACTTGAGTCCTCGGGAAACGCCGGACGCATCTCGCCCACCACGTCAGGTCAAACAACTTCTCCCGGAAGATTGGGGTGGTCCACCCCCAGACCAACCAGGCTTGGGTCGGTGGCCTCACGGACGTGAGATCCGATGAGGCGGACGGTCCAGGAGAGGGCTTTCGGGCTGGTACAATTCATGGCATGCCATGCACGTCTGTCATGCACGACCCAAACCAGATTGACGACGATGTTCACCGAATTGGCCGTACTGGACTGGGCAACTTGGGAACAGCCACATCATTCTGGAATCCGGACAATTTCCCAATTACTCGCGATTTGGTGAAGAAATCCTGTCCGATGAGGTAAAGTTCTTTTTATTCCTGAGTGACGCCGTACGAAGGAAGGTGCCGGTACTGCCCTTTGATAGTTATCAGTTGGTAGATGCAAGGCTATCTTGAATTTGTTTAACCGGATTTGCGGCTGTTCAAAGACATTGGTTATGTGAACATGAATACAATCATCCTATTTGTCGATCAGCATGAAATTAGTTATTATCCAGAGTTTAATCCATCAAGTATTTGCCTTCTTGGCATGCATCTCCGATTAACCTTATTCCATGAAACCACCAGTATATCTGCATTGCAATACGACGCTTCTTGAGATGAAGGATACTGTCTTGCTGGCTCATCTGTCTCACTCTGCTTTTATGAGCTTGCTTTCTATGCCGTTATCATGATGCGGAACTAGTATCTTGTGATGTTGAGGCCCAAGCAGACGACATCTCTTTAAATGTAACAGCCGATGTATTGGATCGAATCTGAGTAAGGATAATTGGACGAAAATCCAATGGGGACCGTAAGTTGCTCTATCGGACCAAAGGACGGCAATGAATGGATTGGACCTTTAAGGAATCAACCTTTCTTCTACAGGGTTACATCCAGTGTGGTAGTAGATAACCTTTGATTTTCGTTGGAAAGTTTGGACCATCTTCCCGTAACGCTGCCATCTTTCTATTCTAACAATTCCTTGGTTGAATACCACCACCATTAACCAGCAGTCACCCATTTAAAGCACACTGCAACTGAGATGGAACCACAGGCTTAGCGTGACTGGAAAGATGCGTGTAGTGACTGTGCGCCTTTAATTGAATTTAATGCATTAAAACTGCGTAACCGCGTATATAAACCCTCTCCTTCGGCTCACCACCCCCCCCCCCCCCCCCCAAATCGTTTTCTCAGCACTCACCTACGATGAAGAAAACTGAGAAATCGACCTCACGAAAGCTCAAAAGCTTGTACAATCTTATCTCAAGAGAGGTCCCAAGAATCCCTCTTTCCGAGGGTTCCTGGGACACTCTCTCTACGCGTTCCGTGGGCTCGACCAGTTTAATTACCGGTACGCGAATGGTCGTCTTTTGCAAGCATTTAGAGACATTATCGGCCAAGATGTGGGTTACAATAAAAAGGTAAGTACCTCAAACCTTCCTTGGGATACTTGGCCATGACTACCGCCGGTTGCATTACGCTGCACATACCCTGGCTCTCCTCCGGTGCGCGGTCCTTACCGTGTACCCTTGTTGTGGTGGAAGCCGTGTAGCAATACCTGCCGACGCTGTAATGGCTAGCCGTGTTTCTCCGTGACCCTGCCACACGTATTTCGGTTTTGAACGATGCAGCCCACACTTGACCGTCAGGCGCTGGCGGGGAATGAGAACGTTGTCGTAGTGTCAAGAACACTAGGGGTTGACACCAGGTTGGGGACACGAATCCTTTGTGAAGGCTGTATCGCCTAGGATTCCGCCATCTCGTGTATCAATTCAACGATTGTATAATGTAATTCTCGTCACAAAATGGAGGACCGGCAGCTAATACCAGAAGGGCACAGGAGAAGTGACCCTTCTGGCATTAGTCGACCGCAAATCAAGAAGCAGCAATTTACTAACCATTATATTTCCATTTCATTTTCACATGTGCATCGGTTGTCAAGGATGTGGCTGACTTTTGGAAAGCGGTAAGTCGAATACGAGGAGTGCATCAATGGCTAGAGATCCGCCGATGCTTACCATCTTACATAGCTACTTTCCAGGAATGTAATTATACGGGACCACAGCGTTCGAGGAGCTAAATACGTCAATGACCACAGTGTTCGTGCGCCTGTCAAACTTCGCAGTAATGACGGAACTCTGACTGTCGGAGATCAAAGTCACCACACGGCAATTTGGCTTAGCGAGAGAAAGCGAGCTAGATCGCCGTCTCCGGATGCACCACGGAAACGGTTCCTTCCCATCCACGACGACTTTCTGTCCGAGGATGAGTTCCCTGAGCCGACCTCCCCCTTCGAAGGAGACCCATCCGGGCTCTCCGACGGAGAGGGGGTCCTCAGTGATAATCCGCTACAAGAAGATTACGGCTTTGAAGGTTACCCGCCGAGCCTGGCCCCATTGGTACGGGAGATCAAGACGTTGCATTCGTCCGATAACACTTCAGCGAGGTTCCAACTGCTCTTCTGGGGAATTGTGGACACCGCCGACGACCAAATACTCCAGCTTCTCCCTGAGGATCAAGTCAAGACAATCAACGCAAAATTGAATGAGATTCTATTTAGTAGTAGTGTCTGTGACTGCACCTCGACAGTAACCTATGTTATGGACCACCTTCGTAATGAGACCAGCATCGCCAACCTTGCACAGATCGCGTTGTCAACGGGTACCGCCGGGCTGCTACACTACTTTAAGGGTGATGGTGTTGTGTGGGTGTGTCTAGTTCGAATGGAAATACAGGTGCAGTGGGTGGGTAGACCAAGGACCGTCAAAATTTGTATAACTAGTGTGAACCCCCAAAAATATAGAAAATGCCAAACTCCTCGTGATTCACCGAAACTCCTCGTGATCGAATCAACTGCCAAGATGCATTGAATTGGAGCCCCCATGTAGCAGGTCTGTCCGAGGTTGGGTCCTCCTGTTGGGCCGACCCATCTGAGGTGGCGACTTGATGCCGTCAATCTCCCTTGCCTTATATCAAAAGCTGTAATATGGACGATGATCTTGGGAAAAGGCGGCTCAGAAGAACTCTCCCGCTAGAATACGGACGATGGTCTTCGGCAAATGCGGCCCAGAAGTACCCTCCCAAGTTTTCCGATTCGCCGGAATATGGGCTGTTCTTCCTGCTTAAGATCCGCAACCTTATAGAGTGATTTTAGACCGGCAGCGACGGAAAAGAGGAGTGTTCCACGGTCGGCTAGAATTTGCATCGTCAGAATGTTATTCAATTCTTGCCAGTCCTGTGGTCCAGTCAACCAATATCAGTGAAGTTTGGGTCAAAAGTAAAGCGAACGTGGGCTTGCTCAAAACCGGTAGGCGCTCTCCGCTGCTTTGAGGGAACATCGCACTCATTTGCTGAACAAATTGGTATATCGCCTTTTCTCGAGCTCTTTTTCAAACTGGCGCTTGCCTCCCTCATCCTTCACGCAAAGATATGCCGGCCACGATTTGGGAGGTTCTTCGAGGGCGAGAATAACCTTCTTCGGCCATCTGAGATCTGCTTGCGGGAGAAGATCGCGTCAAGATGATGAAGCACTTGATATGTGGCAAAGAAAGAGCGTTTATCAGGTGCAAAAGCTGCAAGACCACAATAACCGCACAGAATGAGTTCACGTCCCTGCAAGTACCGATGAACCTGTACGTACACTGCACACCCGGTAAAACTCTTTCATTTTCATATGTATAGGAGATGTGCTACGACAAGCAGTTGAGGCACAGTGATGCAATGCAGCTATATACATGGAATGTGTGAAGGACTGGAATAAGTGTAAAAGATATGGCGCAATTAAAGACTTTATACAGGATAAATGCATAATACAGAACATAGAGAACTGCTTCCATAGATATAAATAACAAAATGTCTTCGAACCACTATGAGATCTAACAGGGGAAACTGCCACATATGACCGCCCGTGTGTAAGAAGGCACAGGTGAACATACATTCAACACTTTTGTCCTTGACTTTTGTTGATTATACCATTCTGCACGCTTGTTTGTAAGTCTTGATGATGTCAGGTCTCAAAACGCAGGAAAAGGCATGAAGACGTCATGCTGTCCAACATCACGTCTTCATCGGACAAGCACAGGTGATTGAATGGACACTTCGAGTCGAGTTGCAATCAAACCTAACCACATGTCCCGGTGAATATATCGATACGAGTTGTAGTAATGCATTCAGTCAGTACTTGTAGTAGCTGCAAATGTTTTCCGGGAGCACACAGCGATTTCAATAAAGATGCACGCATATAGAGCGGTTGCAAATGTCTTTCACGCACGTCAGGAAATTATGTTGTGGGGTGTTCATCAAGCCTCGTCCGCACCGGCCATCAAAGAGATTTGGGGAAGCCCCAGACCTCATGGGGCAATAATGTGGGGGAATATATTTCCTATCTTTCTCAGCAAAAGCGGGCTGAATAGGAAACGACAGCCAAGGAAAAAAAGACAAAAGTACGGCATTCATATGGGACGATAGGTTAGTTTCCCATTGTGTCGGAGAGGTTATATCTTGCATATCTGTGTTTCTGTCTTTTGTGAATATCATAAAACTTGCGTTTGCGAAGAACTCAAAATCATCTGTGCTCATTTTGAAAGAAAATACAAACAGTGCACGGAACACAATTTGGTCCTACCAAGTGTCCTTCGAGTATATCTATTGAGCATACTTTACAAACTCCCCCTCTAGTTTCGCAACGTTAGCTCCAAAATACCATCCCGTTATCACCTCTTTTTCCTTCAACGGTTGGGCGTATCCACACAAGGCCCAAATTGTCGGTTAGTTTTGAATCGCTTCGGGATGCAAGTCTCGTCCCCGCCCGCCTCATCATCATCAACCAGAGGATACATCAAGATCTTGAGTATTGTGTGTGTACTTTGGCTCATGATGCCCCCCTTCGAAACAAAGACTTGATCTCCTCATTCAACCGAGGAGCAATCTTTGGTTCAGGTGTTTGCAGATACCTAGCCATGCTTAAAATGCACCTCTCGGAATCGCGGAAGTAGAGAGAATAGAAACGGAAAGATAACGGTCAGTAAGGTAACTATTAATTTACTGGCAACCAACAGCAGATGTGCCGGTCCTCCATTTGTGATGAGAATTACATTATACAATCGTTGAATCGAAACACGAGATGGCGGAATCCTAGGCGATGCAGCCTTCACGAAGGATTCGTGTCTCCATCTTGGTGTCAACCCCTAGTGTTCTTCACACTATGTCAACGTTCTCATTCCCCGCCAGCGCCTGACCGTAAGTTGGACTGCACCGTTCAAACCAGAAATACGTGTGGCAGGGTCACGGAGAAACACGGCTAGCCATTACAGTGTTGGCAGGTATTGCTGCACGGCTTCTCCCACAACACGGGTACACGGGAGCGACCGCGACCCCAGAAGAGCCAGGGTTTGTGCAGAAAGGCAGCCAAACAGTAGCAATGGCCAATTATCCCATACCCAAACTGAGAATACTCTTAATGAGAAAGGATAGTGTTAATTACCTTTCTGTGATAGGCGGTGTTCGGGCCTGAAAGATTCCCATTCGCGTAGCGTCGATGGACTGTGATGGGGGAAAACGCGACGGTCCACGTGACCAAACGCATTGGCATCATCCATCACATCAACCAGCTGTTTTTCCTTTGACATTTTAGACTGGTTTTTACATGCTTTTACAAATATTGAAACAGGTTGCATTATTTTTTATGCATTGGATTATGCATTTTCTATATAAAAGTATTCTGCAACATACACGGGAATATTTGCTATTTTAGTGTGATGAAAGAAATGGGTCAAAGCTGTGAGACATTGTCGTTCTACTTGATTTATGGATTGACGCGGGATCAGGCCACAGTTTCGACCGTCCATCGAGGAAAACAGATGACAATGTGTTTAGGTTCATTCAAGCCGCATGAAACGCATATGG